TTTACTATATATTCTCCACAATCCATTTCCTAGTGTTTGATTAAAATTTTATTCTGATTTCATCTTTTTCAATTCGTTATCATAAGCCGTAAATTGCATAAGCATATTTAGCGGAAGTAACGTCAAACCTCGTTACATTGTGAATTGCAAACTTTTAAGCAATTTGCAGTGCTTTTCATTCTAGAGCTTCGTTTGTGTACAATGTTTTGCAAAAGTAATATTTCAAAAGGTTAAGAGCTACCTTTAAATATGTAAGGGATGTCGAAGTTTAGCGGTATAACGAAAGTTCAGTCTTAAGAGGGGTTTTTTGGCCCTACCGTAGATAAAGTTTATCATCATACATCGTGTGCGGATTTAAATTTGTACAGTTCGCCACGAACTGCTACGAAATCGCCAATTAACATTACAATCCTAAGACAAAAACAACACTATCGTCACACCACGAAATCAACACCGTCGTCACACCACGAAATCAACACCGTCGTCACACCACGAAATCAACACCGTCGTCACACCACGAAATCAACACCGTCGTCACACCACGAAATCAACACCATCGTCACGAAACGAAATCAACACCGTCGTCACACCACGAAATCAACACCATCGTCACACCACGAAATCAACACCGTCGTCACAACACGAAATCAACACCATCGTCACACCACGAAATCAACACCATCGTCACACCACGAAATCAACACCGTCGTCACACCACGAAATCAACACCGTCGTCACACCACGAAATCAACACCGTCGTCACACCACGAAATCAACACCATCGTCACACCACGAAATCAACACCATCGTCACGAAACGAAATCAACACCGTCGTCACACCACAAAATAAACATCGCCGCCCTGTCACGAAATCAGTATCATCAGAAATCACTATCATATGAAATCAACACTATACCATCGTCACACCACGAAATAGATATCACTGTCATATGAAATCAATATTATACTATCGTCACACCACGAATTCAACACTATCGTCACACCTAGAAATAAACACCGCCGCCCTATCACGATATCAACACAACTGTCATGTAGAAAAACCTAATATAACACCAGGAAATCAACAACGATGTCAATTGCACATCACGTTTCTGATAAGATGATAGTGTACTCATAATCCACAGCATTTGAAAACAAAGCAATGACATCTGTTGTGTAGATCTGAGATAAAAATTGAATTTAACTACAAATTAATGTAGTTTTGTTGTGGCCAAACAAGACATGAATTTGAAATTTATTTACAATTTAAATTAAGCTTGCATGTATTACAGCCTCACCTGACATTTGCCTTTTGTATTTTTAAATCACAAAAAGTGTATATGAATATAGCTCTTATTTTGCTGAATACTAAATGTGTGTAAATGTAAATATCGTTTGTATTGCTGAGTAAAATTTTAGCAGACGTGGAGTCTTGACACTGACGAAGATTTTAATTGAAAACTGTTGTGGTATTAAACTCAGTAACGTCTAATTGGAGTGATAGTGATCAATTATCATTATCATATATATACATATGAGGCACCAGAGGTAATGTAGAATATTAGATAAATATATGACAAATGACACAATTATATTATCTTTTATAAAAAAAAAAAAAAAACAGCAAATCGCAATGTTTTTTGTGTCTGAATCTTTCTTATACAAATGCTGATTTCAATATCATATTGCTTTGTTTTATACAATGAATACTGTCTTCATATATAGCTTTTATCCTGCAACTTGCGCTGACATTGTCCGAATACACCTGCCACTTATATTTTTATTTATATTTTTTTTTTTTATATTTTTTATAGCACGTGCGTAAATTCGACAGAACTATTTTCTGAATTAATTCCGTTTAATAATATAAATATCTATAGAAAGAAGTGATTTTATATGTCTTAATGAATAAGTTGATTTACGAAAATGTATAAAATCACTGTCATATCCGTTGAAGTTTGGAACTTCATTTCTACGCGTAGTAATTATGATGGCGTGCGTCATCAGGTAAAGTTCAAGGTAATGTCAACGACAGATTAACAAAGAATTGAAAACAAAATGTTTAAGTTTCAATAGTCTGATTTTCAGTCAATGTTGCAAGATCAATAGAATATGTGGTCAAAGTCTTAAAATATAAGCTGTATTTTGACTAGGGACAAAAAGACAAAAGTGACTGCTAGAGGCTCGCCACTTTCGTCTTTCTTCACTCTCACCAAAATACAGCTTACTTTTTAAGACACTGGCCAGGTATTCTCTAAACATTGCATATTACAATGGATCACTTGTCTAGAATACATACAAATTAACACCATCGTTACACCATGTAATGAATATCGCCGTCACACCACAAAATCATCACCACCATAACACCACAAAATTATCACCATCGCCACACCGTATAACTAAAACCATCGTCACACCGTATAACTAAAACCATCGTCACACCGTATAACTACCACCATCGCCACACCGTATAACTAACACCATCGTCACACCGTATAACTAACACCATCGTCACACCGTATAACTAACACCATCGTCACACCGTATAACTAACACCATTATCACACCACAAAATTTACGCCACCGTCACACCGTTTAACTAACACCATCGTCACACCGTATAACTAACACCATCGTCAAACCACAAAGTAACACCATCGTAAACCACAAAATTAACACCATTATCACACCACAAAATTAACACCATTGTCAAACCACAAAAGTAACACCACTGTCACACCTCAAAATTAAAACCACCGCCACACCACAAAATTAACACCATCATCACACCACAAAATTAACACCATTGTCACACCACAAAATTAACACCATTGTCACACCACAAAATTAACACCACCGCCACACCACAAAATTTACACCACCGTCACACCACAAAATTAACACCATTGTCAAACCACAAAATTTACACCATTGTCAAACCACAAAATTAACACCATTATCACACCACAAATTAAACACCATTGTCACACCACAAAATTAACACCACCGCCACACCGTATAACTAACACCATCGTCACACAACAAAATTAACACCTTCGTCACACAACAAAATTAACATCATTGTCACACCACAAAATTAACACCATTGTCACACCACAAAATTAACACCACCGCCACACCGTATAACTAACACCATCGTCACACCACAAAATTTACACCACCGTCACACCACAAAATTAACACCATTGTCAAACCACAAAATTTACACCATTGTCAAACCACAAAATTAACACCATTATCACACCACAAAATAAACACCATTGTCACACCACAAAATTAACACCACCGCCACACCGTATAACTAACACCATCGTCACACAACAAAATTAACACCATCGTCACACAACAAAATTAACATCATTGTCACACCACAAAATCAACACCGTTTTCACACCACAAAATTAACACCATCGTCACACCGTATAACTAACACCATTATCACACCACAAAATCAACACCATTGTCACACCACAAAATTAACACCATCTTCATACATATATAGTATATAGTGTAGTAGACCAATTATTAATCAACAAAACATCCTCTCTTGACATTTTCAATATTCTTACAAAATATTTATTTTTTGACAAATACCTGTTAGAGGATGGGCAAAAGTGACATTTTCATGTACAACTGTCACAATCTTATTAACGACCTTTCTTCAAATACATCAAGTATACAACCATAGGCACTACTTTTTATTTTCCTTTTTTTTTCATCTCTACCAAGCGATTATAGCGAGACTAGTTGTATTCACGGAAGTTATAAAATGGGTGTTTTCTTATTCAATTGATTTTTCGGGGGGCTGCTGCGATATGCTGGTTTAAGCCTCTTTCTGATAGGGCGAAAATGAGGCTGACTTTATAGTGCTATAACACTGAAATATACTGCCGAAGCACCCCCCCCTCCCCCCACCCACTCACCCACCCAGGGCATCCAGCTCGACGCGACACCAACTGTATGATGTCGAATGCAATATGTTAATTTCCAAACAAAATATCTTTCGATTCCACACTTGATTTTACTCAAATCAGAAATCTGAATTTGCATCACATTTAGGAAACGAAAGAAGACAATATTTAACTCCATGAAACGTTACATAACTTTTTACGATGTTATTTAAACATCTGATATATTACGAGAATACAATTTGCGTTACAACAATACATGATTTGAATCCCAACTTGACTTTATCATACACCGAGCGTACATCTAGCATAACGAATGTCATTTATAGCGTAATAGATTTCAGATGTACTGATTTTTTTTCTCCTAAAATGAAAATATAATTATGATAATGTTTTCACAATAAGTAATGTTGTAACTGTCACTTTCGAGATATCAATGTCAGCACATCGTGAGGTGTTTATTTGAAACGGAACAGGATGAATGTATTAAGAATTTTCCACGTTGAGACTGTTAAAACGATATGCATGTACATTCTATATGTTAAGTGGGATATGTCAAATAACACATGTAAACAAGACTTTCACAATTAAGATACTTTGCGTAAAATTATGAAATTTCTTACTTGGAATATAAAAGAATACAAGATTCCATTTATCGCGTAATTTAGACTCTTTTGCAAGCATTAAAGAAAAATAAAGTTATATTAAACTGGTATAAAATTATAGAATTGCTACTGACATTGTCAGACCTTATTTCTATCTTTGATGACGTCATAAATATATGACGCCATGTAGTAAAGACGTCAAATATGAAACAACGGAAACCCTCAGGGTTGTAGGTTTATAGGTGTTACATAAAAGGATCTCGTCGGGATTCAGGATCTTTCACATACTTTGTAGAGTGTAAAGTACTATGTGCCTTGTGTTCACGTGGAAAATGATTTTATTGTTTAAAAATAACGAATAACACTGACACAAAAAACACACATCAGTACAGAGTTTTTTCTTTTGTTTTCTTCTTTCTGATCACAATCTTTCTTTGTTTTGTCCTTTTTCCAGGCAACAGTCATGGCGTTACTGAGTTTGTTTGTTGTCTCGGTTGTTCTCTGCCAGGCCGTTCTCCTCGGCGCTGTTCCTACAACTGTTACAGCAATCATCACCGAAACAGCTACCACAGAAACAGCCACCAGTGACGTCAAACCCATTCCTGAAATCACGTACAACTACACTGACGATGTCAAAGATGCTTTTAGGCTTGTTTTGGCACAGTTGCATAGCAATGTTGGCAAACCTGTGAAAAAGGGTGAATTTTCATATAAGGAGTTAAGTCGCTCACGTGATTTGTGACACAAAGGTTAAAGGTTAAGGACACTGCACTGGGGCGTACGACATCTTTGATATATAATATTTGCTCATTCGAAATGTATTTCTTTTTGTTGAAATTAATGTACCTCAGCCTGCAAAGCAATCATAATGTCAAAATGACTATATCTCTGAAAAGTTTTTAAAACTCTCTTCTTAAAAACCACAAATCGTTAATGTTATTGCTCGGTTGTATTATTTAATCGATTCTGCATATTTACATGTACATTTGTTTTATTAAAAAAACTAAATTAACGAGAAAGTGATGTTTCCGAATGGGACAATTGGTCTACCATTAAATGCACTCTGGACACTCCGTGAGTGACGATCACTTGCTCTCTGCACCCCTTTAACATGTCATGGCAAAAATGAAGGCAAAAGGGAAGTAATTTGAATGGTTCCAGGAAAAAAACTGACCAAACACGGGTCGATATTCACATGTTGAAGATTACAAAGGAGCGACATCCAACTTAAAAGTCATTATAACCTACCGTTACGCGAACTCGAGGTTCGTTTAATGTACATTATTTTTAAACGGGTCAAACTAGTCTATACATCTTGTCCACAAGGTGTCGCACATAGAACCTTCAATTCTTTCATGACATGTTCTAGAAGTACAGAGAGTTATGTAACTCATGGAGTATCGAAGATGCGTTAAGTGTTAAGAAGACTACAACTTGTGTATGCAACTTTCAAAATATTCAATCACATTTTGTCCAAATTGCCTCAAAATCATAGGAGATAGTTATTACGGCATATCAAAACTTGTTTTTGTTTAGACATTACGGCAACCATGAGAGCAGACTTCCATACGCTGTGTCCGGTGCCGAGAAGGGAACCGGAAACACAAGCAGATTCCAAGATGGCGTCATTAGGACTTGATGTCATTCAACAATTAAGTGACAGGTACGCAAGAGAGATTGCTATAAACTGAAACATTTGCCGATCCAATCTACGAAGCTGAAAAAATGAGAGCATGTACACAAACTTTGGGAAATAATCCTGGAAGAATTGTAACAGCATTATAGGAAGTCTTTCCGCGATAGACTGGCCTCTACCAACAAGGGAACAGCGCACGAACAGTTGATTGACAAAATAGAGATGTTCCTAACCTATCGTATATCACATTTATTGTTGACTCGGCTATTACAGGGAGTAAAATAAAAGTACGTCAGATCGAGTTCATAGAGATGATAAAAAGGATAAGTAGGTTGATGAAAATTTTCGGGAAGATTTGCGGCCATCACCATGATATCATTTTGAGTCTCGTAAATCCAACTTACTCCTACATTTTCAAAACAACAAGATGTTTTTTTCTGTTTTTTTTATTTAAGTGTTGGAATTTCGGCGGAGGACATTTTAAAATCAGAACAATGGCGGGATTCGCTGGGAACCGAGTTCCGGAAGTACTGTAATGAGAAAGCGTCACACTTTCACTGTGATCCTTTGTCCCCCTACCGGACAATTGACGGGTCCTGTAACAACATCGGACATCCAGCCTGGGGCATGACTGGAATGCCCCAAAAGAGGTTCCTCCCAGCAACGTATGATGACGGTAGGGAATTAATCAAAGTCAAACTATTGAATCTTCTATGGAAATAAAAAGACACAGAAAGGTTAAGGTCTGTGCCTTATATATAAGGCTGTAATGAGGTAATGCATGTAAAAGCTAGATTTAACATAAATGTGACCAAGAATAACATGAGGAATTCAAATAGGTAAATTCTATGAATTTTATCCCAATGCTTATTAATAGAAAAAAGTCTTGGTTATGTGTCTGGTGTTAATTTGACAAATCGTCAAAGTTGCTACCTAAAGCTATGCGCATAAAAAAACATGGGGGATCCCCATGATCAATAGGAATAAAATGCCTTTTATGAGGACCTTGATCTCCTCTCGCACAAAATGAACCACGCACTTGAGGTTCACTAACCGTAGACTTTACTGATTGAGCAATTTTAAGTTAACAAGGAAAAGCAATGTATTTTATTTACAATGCAAACGTTGAGCAGTAAAACCGTTAGGTTTTCTCCATAGTGGTCCATTGGCAACTAAATCTCAATCAACTGTCATAGACGAGGATTCAATGCGGACGTGATCTACAGTTTATCAGCTGAAAGGGTTTTTTCTTCTTAATTTGATGTTTGAATTAGATTCACATCAATTATGTTGATATATGTATATTTCGTAATGTCTAATGACCTAAAGCACAGAACCGACTAGAACACAATCGGTGAAAATGATTCATTATATTAATAAAAAAAAAAATAAGCATACTTCCTCTCATTAAATGTTCATATCAGGCATACACGTCTCTGTATACATTTCATTGCATTTGATTAACTAGATCGTAAAATTGATTCTTTAAGTTACTGTTGTATAAATCAATATATTCTTTTGAAAATGAATTGTGCAGTTTTGATACTAATGATATTTTGTTTTACCTATCTCTAGGTTTCAATTCCCCCCGGTCAAAGGCCGAGGATGGCACGCCCCTCCCCAGCCCCCGGAACATCAGTAACATACTTCATAAGTCTACTGGCAATCAGACGTATGAGTCCAGACTGACCGTAATGTTGATGACCTGGGGCCAGTTCATTAATCACGATATTATTGGCACTCCACTCATTAAAGGTAAGTTTCTAACGGAAAGTAAGACTATAAATAACTGGTTCTCTAAATATGTATGCGTATGTTGCTTTCTTTTTTTCTTCTTATTCTTTTTTATCTTGTATTTAGTTTAATGGTAATGCTTCCTTCACAAAATGACATCCAAACGAAAGCTGCAAAGATTTCAAACAAACAAATAAATAAGACGTTGATTACAGTCTCTGTGATATTATCTGATACATCAAAATTTAAAAGAAAAATGCTTTTATGATTTAACTGATTTCTTTTTTATTTCAGATGAAAACGGAAATTCCCTTGATTGCTGTGGTATAGATAGAACGAAGTAAGTAAACTTGTATTTCAAGCTTACATTACACCAACACATGGCTAACATCCCCGTATTTTACTTTTGTCGTATCACAATGAGCTAGTGGTATCATGTAGTCTTGAGATTCGAAGTTACAGAAAGGTAGCATAAAGCATTACGTGTTTATTAAACAGGGAGATAACAAACCTCATAAAGTCTCTATATCAGCACTAGGCAGCATACACATGTAAGTCTTATGTCACAGAAGGCAGCATACATCCTTAAGTCTCTATGTCAGCACTAGGCAGCATACACATGTAAGTCTTATGTCACAGAAGGCAGCATACATCCTTAAGTCTCTATGTCAGCACTAGGCAGCATAAACATGTAAGTCTTATGTCACTGAAGGCAGCATACATCTTTAAGTCTCTATGTCAGCACTAGGCAGCATACACATGTAAGTCTTATGTCACAGAAGGCAGCATACATCCTTAAGTCTCTATGTCAGCACTAGGCAGCATAAACATGTAAGTCTTATGTCACTGAAGGCAGCATACATCTTTATATCTCTATGTTAACATGAGGCAGCATACACATGTAAGTCTTATGTCACAGAAGGCAGCATACATCCTTAAGTCTCTATGTCAGCACTAGGCAGCATAAACATGTAAGTCTTATGTCATTGAAGGCAGCATACATCTTTAAGTCTCTATTTTAACATGAGGCAGCATACACCAATAAGTCTTATGTCACAGAAGCCAGCATACATCTTTAAGTATCTATTTTAACATGAGGCAGCATACACCTGTAAGTCTTATGTTAGAAAAGGTAGTATATATCCTTAAATCTCTATGAAAGCATCAGGCAGCATACACCTGTAAGGCTTATGTCACAGAAGGCAGCATACATCCTTAAATCTCTATGTTGACATTGGATAGCATACACCTGTAAGTCTTATGTCACAGAAGGCAGCATACATCTTTAAGTCTCTATTTTGACATTGGACAGCATACACCTGTAAGTCTTATTTCACATAAGGTAGCATACATCCCTTAAGTCTCTATGTTACGACAAGTTAAAGCTCCGTTAAGAAGACGAGGAACAATCTCTGTTGTATTTTGCTGTGTGTCGTGAGTGGCGACTAACCGATGGCGGCTGTATCCCAACTTGCCCACTTTTTATAATAACATGGACAGGAATGTTGGTAGAAGGATTATTGTCTAGTAGAGCAGATGAGTTTACCTGTGTTTTTACCTGTGTTTTACCTTTGATAACATGTGCCATCTAGCCTATGTTGGAAACTTTTACCTATATGAAATGATATCATTTTCATTTAGAGTTGAAAAAATCATTCGGGATTTACATATTCTTACTTCATATAAAAATTACACTGAAAGTAGAGACAAAACAAAGAGTGTTTTTTTTCATAATTAATCATATTTAATTTATTGGAGGTTAAAATTGATTCAAATTTGCATTTTCTTTTATACATGATATGTCTAAATTTGAAAAAAAAAGTTTAAATAATGATGCTGAAATATAATAGACTAATATCCACTTTTTATATGAAATAAAATCCTTATTTGTATTAATTTTCGTTTGATACGCCCAACGCTTACGTCATTAGTTAAAGCAGCATCACGGTAAAACGATATTTTTCTTATTAATTTTATCGTTATTGCATATGTATATATATCAAGTTCACCTTATGAATAGTGACACTTGGTTTTCGACGAAATATACATATAAGGAGGTTAATCAATGAAATAAAACGGAAATCTTTATCTGTTGATCAACATTCTGGAAACAGAAATGGCTTTTTGCCTGAATCGGTTGGTGATTAAGTTACTTATTTTGTAATTCTGACTTTGAGTTATCAAATAACATTTCCCACATATAGCAAAATCCGGCGCTGATAAATGGGATTTTGCTGACAGTGTCACTACTGTCGCCCTCATGTGTGTTCGTGTTTACAAAATGAACAGCCTCGTTTTCAAAACTATCGCGAGACGTTATCAGCGCTCAATTTAAGAAGGGTTTCCCGAACCACAGAAGTGGTTAAACTGGACATTTTGGAAATCGACTGTGAATATCGGGATTGCATTGAAACGTAACTTGAAGTGTATAAAACATGTGCAATCAGTGACCAAATTGATGTTGTTACCATGATGTCCATTTTATTCTCAGATTTCAACCTTTAATTATGGTAAATAATGTTGTTTAAATACCAAAGCCACCGACCTCATACAAATACCTGCACTCCATTAATAGCGATGTACCCACTAAATGTTGATACCCGACAGGACCCAGCAACTGTAAACCCGTTTCCTGACTCTACTAAAGCCGACCACGACCTACCTCAAGATGTCTTATAACTGTGTTTGTTGACTTCGAGACAGCAGTCCACAACGCCTGAAGCCAATTATTCCTAGGGGTCACTCCGGCCATCGAAGGATTCAGTTTTCGTCTTTACCCAGTGCATCTGAGGAATGACCAGCAAACTGGACATGAACAACTTTACAGAGAGAACGATATAAAAGATGTGTTCGCATTAGCTGCCGTGCTACCAATGATATCCTGAGATATTGAAGACGATGTGTGGTTCACAGAGGGACCTCGCACCACTAAACATTCGGTAGCATGGCAAGGGAAGCTGAAGAGGGAGGTACGTCACTCACACCCCAACATATACACTATTATCAGAGCAGAGTGTACCAACATGACACAGCACGGTACAGGAAGAGAAACAAAACAACGACACCGAAACATAAACAACACGCCGACCCAACTAAAGGGCTGTCTTCACACTCCACGGACCGACATCAAGGAGTACGTAAACATAGTATCACATTTTCTTCACTTCGAATGAAATTCCTCCAAAAGTGTATACAATAATGGAAAAACTGCTGAAGAGTTAAAAATGTCTATACCACGTGTTTGTATCCGTATTGTGAATCATCCAATGCATGCTATGTATTTTGTGTCCGCCAATGTTATACTATTGAATTTAAAGTGTATAAAAAACAGGCGCATATGATATCCTTTAGTGTTGTACGTCCTTTCAAGAAATAAATGTAAAAACATATATGTTAAAAATTCTAATGTTATTTCATGTCAACAAATGCAATATTACATGCAATGTGTATCAAAAAAATGTTATTTTTATTGTACATATTTCATGTCAACGAATGTAAGACTTTTTTTTAAATATAAGAACATATCGTCTTTGTAATACCACTAGACTACGTCTTGGTTTTCTATCAACGCAAATGTGTAATATCAAAATGGAATATTAATTTATTTTTATATGGTTCTATATTGTGCTATTTATGAACTTATACGTACGTTGTAATAATTTAAAAAAATATTCATTTACTTTAAATAACAAGCTCTCTATTATCTTACATAAAATATGAAGAAATGTTTTGTGAGAAACACAGGTAAATTTCAGGTAAACATCCAGGTGAAAAAAACAGTCTATATGAAAGTGTATTGCTGACTTGACTTTGTCGCCTAAAACAACACATTTCTGTTAATTTAAAAAAAATGTTTGTACAGTACAGAGAACACTCCTGCAAGTCGAAAGTTTTTCTTAAATATCTTTTGTTAAGTACAAGAGAGCAGTGAAAATTGAGTATTTTTTGTTACACTGCATGATAAAATAGAGCGACCAAAATTGGGTCCCTGTCGAATTAGAGGTGTGTTCTGCCATTGTCTTCTACCAGCGGGGAAATTAAATCGATAAGATTAGACCTCTTTCTACAAAATTATATCTGCAAATATTGAAGAAATCACGCGTTTCTCGTGTTGATAAAGCTGTATGTTGTGTCTTCTTTAACAGTTTACTTTGTAATATAATTTCCACAGCGTATGACGTCATTTCATTTTCATGCATGCCGTGTTTTAATTCATTATTTTATATTCGGATTTTGACACCATTTCTATTAATTTTAATTCCCTTAGTCGCTTCATAGGCTCCAAAACTAGGCCCTTAGCATCACTGATGAGCCCGAGAAGGATGAAACAGTTGTATGGTGCAGTTTATTTCATTTCTTATCTCTGCTGTATGTAATTATGACTACAAAAATTTTCAACGCAAATATATTCAGTTGTGTCTTTCTTATAGTCCTTTATGACGTCATAATAAACCATATTACCTTAAATGTATGACTTAATTGTCTGTACCGAATAACACGGTAGCCACATGATGCATAAAGATATAGAATTATATCATCAACATCATTGATTTTTATATTCAGAATCATTGTAGTAGCATTGCTTTCAAAAGGAAGTGACAGATAAAATGTCCCCCTTATCATTAATTAATTGACTCAATTATCTTAACAACTAATTAGAGCATGAAATACCCATTAAATCTAATGGCTTCCAACATGATCGGAATTGTTTTTTATTGTCCATGAACAACTTATATATCAACTACATATCATACGTGAACTTTGACCTTCCACAGTACGGGAAAATCATAATGAATTATCGGAAGTGTGTCGTACATAAGATTGGTTAGCTTAAACATCATTGAAATTAACACGTAAAGCATTTTGTATAAAAATTCTATTTGACTAAATTTTGTTATATATCTTTTTGGATAAATAATATATATAAGTTATTTGCTAAAATACAACATATTTTGGACAAGTCCTTAAGGTTAAACGGGGTTTTGTTGTGTACCACGCTCGATTGATTTCGATATCACCATTTAATGACAGACATATGTAATTACAAAGGTAATATACACACATATATATATGAAGCGATGTATTCTCGTCCAAGTTAGAGAGCGAGCTTTGATTGACAGGTTTGTGTATGATAACAATTCATTTCACAATGTTCCGATGACGGGCTGGTACCGGGCCCCGCCATTAGCCGACAACAATTTGACATTTTCATTATAATTAGTATGATAATTTTATGCTAATATGATATGTAGACAAATGAATTGATTTGAAGGAAGAAACTGTAAGATAAGTGACTGTGATTATATACGTCTATTGTGTTAACACTAACACTGTGCTTTATAAAATCGTACTTTGTATTACCTGTATGTAGTAAATTCATTTACCTTTCATTCTCAAGCACAATTAGCAGATGGAATAGTAATTAAAATATTGATTTAATTAAAACCACCCCTACCAAGATAGGCTGACACCCACGTGAAATGTTGCAATATTGAAATCGATTGCGTTCTTTAATTTATACAGGTTAACAGCCATTTTTTAAAGTTAACTTAAAACCTATGTATTCTGAACTTTTGTCTATTCCGACCCTTTCTAATCTTAAGAATTGTCTCTCTTACAAAGCCCTGCCTGTCTACCTTTGGAAGTCCCCACCGACGACTCATATTTTCAATCATCCTGTATGAACTTTGTCCGGACGGCTCCGGGGGCTGGACCAGAATGCTCTATAGGTAAGACACTCATATGATGAACTTAGACACTACATGTGGCAAAGTGATACAATGGCATATTCTAATGTCTGAATCATCAGCTAGTATGTAAATTTACTAACAATATATAGTAAACTATGATATTTGATTTCATATTGGGTCCGAAATTCCATACAATAGACCCTTTTCTTTCATACTTTTTAATATTACAGTGTTCTGTAAAGACCAAATTTCAATTAGTGAAAAAAAGAACAAACAGAACAAAAACTAAAGCCGAGGGAGCTGTGAAAACAAAATTCTATTGCGTTCTGGGTTGTACAAAACGGCAAAGAAGCGACGGAGAGAAGAAAAAACGAAAACACGATAACGAGGAACTGAAATATGGCTATCGTTTTCTCTTCTCTCCGTCATTTTATATAATATTTTCACTAAATTACTCACTTCTTCAAATTTAGGTCGAGTTATATCGAAATTCACTCTTAATGGAAAAGAACAACATATTTTCCACAACTTTCAAAATCATGATAACGGTTAAAACCAATGAATTACATGGTTATTTTCTACAATAACTAAAAAATGATATATTCCTTCCTTCTATCATCTATGATAAATGTGATGAGATTTTTTTCAATTTTAGATTTTATCTACAATCATATATATGTAAACCTGCAGATCAATATGTCAACATATTAATTGAACGTTTTTTTCAATATATCAGGTGAAAGACGGCCAATAAATAAAGTGACGTCATATCTCGACGGATCTGCCATTTATGGGTCAACGAAAGAAGAGGAAAGTCGTTTACGTAAAATGGAATATGGTACGTAAGGAGATTCATAAAGTCTCAATGAAATAATACGAAGATCTAAAGGGATGATGGGATATGTGTCAGCTGGGTCGCACCGAAAAGTCGCAAAGCTGTAATGGTGGACGTAAAACCAATCAAATAAATTCGGAAATGAAGAATCCGTATGAGTACCCGTGAACGATTAACAAAGAGAACTCATTTGATATTAGATATATGTCAGAAGAGGTGCAACGATTTGTATAATTATATACATCAGTCTTAGTTTGTAGTTTTGACATGTCTGATAATTTTAGCACTCAAGTATATTCCGAACTTTGCCACTATTTCAATGAATTAAAAATCGAATTAATTTTTTTTTCTGTCAACATTACGAATCTCTCAAAGATGAGAGAAGAAAAATAAGTGATTCAGTGTAAATATTTTTGTGATGTTATCTCTTTCCGAAAGGACTGCTACGAGAAGGACACCACGGTCTTCTTCCGCCAACCGGAAATGACAATTGCATTCTACAGAGAAAAGGACAACAGTGTCAACTGGCTGGTAAAATTTTTATTTGTTTTGTTTCGATAAAAATGGCAACAGCTTCACTGTACGGTTTATTGATTTTGATCAAATGTGTCATCACCATATAAGGATGCATAGCTTGGTCTTGTGAGAATGAGGTATCAAAGTTAAGAATTTACTGAAACTAAAATGTAAATAAAAAATGATGATTGAGAAAAAATTATACTCTTCTTAAAGTGAACTTTCAAAAAATGTTAAGAAAAAAAAGCTTGAATATTGAATAGTTGTCTCTATTAGATTTTTTTTCTTAATATGAAGCTGGAAATGTTTAGTGCTTGTTAATTTGATTGGTTCCATTGTTGAATATTTTGTTCTCATTTGAGAATGTGACATTACTTACATTTGAAAATACAAATTATTTGTTTTAGGCGACGAACGTTCCAATTTTGTTGCCTCCATTGGTGCCTTACATACATTGCTCATGCGCGAACACAACCGAATCACTTTGAAGCTTCATGAAATCAACCCGTCCTGGGACGACGAGACCCTCTATCAAGAAACGAGAAAAATCGTCTCCGCTATCATCCAGCATATCACATACAACGAGTACCTACCGTTGATAATAGGAAAGCCCCTTGTTAATTATTACAATCTGGATGATACAGAATTTGGACATGTTGAAGCGTACAAGGACTTCGTAAACGCCGGAGTTTCAACCGCCTTTGCTGCCGCCGCTTTCAGATTTGGTCACTCACAAATTCCCAAAAAACAAACATATATTGGACCAAAGTTTGAAAAAAAGAAGGGGGTAGTCATCGAAAAGACATTCCACAAGCCGTATTATCTACAGAGAAGCAAGCATTTTGGTTACGAGGGAATTCTTAGATGGTTAATTACCGACCCAAGTCCAATGGTCGACAGGTAATTTATAGATGTTTGGTCTAAAACGAGAAATTGGAAAATACAGTTTTTCAAAGGAAATAAATGGTTTCCTTTACAGATTATTAGAATATCACAGAATTTCAAAAAGGCGAGCTTTTGTTTTTGTGTCGGAGTTTTTCCCGTGATATTTCGACAGTAATTGTATAATAACCAGGGCATATCAGGTGACAAATGGCATTAATTTTGTGTAAAAAGGACACGATTCAATCACACAATATTTTACAGCTCAAATAGATTCTTTAAGGCGAAAATGACTGTTTAAGGCGAATGTTATAGGTTATATGGGCCCAAAAATTTGGCTCAGGTTGAAGCGCAGGCCGGCAAACTATATTGTTATAGGTGTAACTCATCAATTTCTGTGAAATTTACCATCTTCGATATTTTTATCTAGGTACGTTGAAGATGGCGTCCGTGATAAGCTTTTCTTGTTGCAAAATATTAGTATGGACTTGGCTGCAATCAATATTCAGAGAGGACGTGAACAAGGGGTACCGCCTTACAACGCGTGGCGGAAATGGTGCGGACTGTCGGAAGTGACGTCATTCGAGGTTAAGCGAAATGGCGGCCTTGAACACCATGACAACGAAACAGCTGCAATTTTGAGTGATTTATACAAGTAATGTTTAAACTATGTTTCGTTTTATCCGATTTTCAAAAATAAAAAATTACATAATTTCAGTATACGACATAATGGTAAAGATGATTGTACTATACACTATGACAGAGCCATATAGAGCATGCTTAGTATCAGCAGGTATGTTGATGTGATAAGTTATTTCTTTCAAGATACCACTTTCTTAGTCTCGTTCAACAAGATTGTTTCTTGCAAATGTAATTTTCAAGAGAATTTTTCGTTAATTTCCAGGTTGAAATATAATCATTGCAAGAGAGAGAGAGAGAGAGAGAGAGAGAGAGAGAGAGAGAGAGAGAGAGAGAGAGAGAGAGAGAGAGAGCAGAGAGAGAGAGAGAGAGAGAGAGAGAGAGAGAGAGAGAGAGAGGGAGAGAGAGAGAGAGAGAGAGAGAGAGATTATTTAAGGTTCAGAGTTTAAGTGAAACCTCGAAAATAAGAGAAAGCCTTTGCAGTAGTTTCTCTTTCCGTTCTTTTTTTTTAGAAGCCCCAATGATATTGACTTGTACTCTGGTGGAGTATCCGAAGTCCATGTGGACGGCGGAAGTGTCGGACCTACTTTTGCATGTATCATTTCCCGACAGTTCAGTGCACTGAGGGTCGGAGACCGGTATTGGTACGAAAACAACGACACTACTATCGGGTTTACATCAGGTAGGTACTGGTTCACATCTGGTAGATACTGGTTCATGATTTAGATCTGCTGTCTCACATCTGGTAGATACTGGTACATGATTTAGATGTACTGTCCCACATCTGGTAGATACTAGTTCATGATTTAGATGTTCTGTCCCACATCTGGTAGATACTGGTTCATGATTTAGATGAACTGTTTCACATCTGGTAGATACTGTTTCATGATTTAGATTAACTGTTTCACATCTGGTAGATACTGGTTCATGATTTAGATGTACTGTCTCACATCTGGAAGATACTGGTACATGATTTAGATGTTCTGTCTCACATCTGGTAGATACTGGTTCATGATTTAGATGTACTGTCTCACATCTGGTAGATACTGGTTCATGATTTAGATGTTCTGTCCCACATCTGGTAGATACTGGTTCATGATTTAGATGTACTGTCTCACATCTGGTAGATACTGGTTCATGATTTAGATGTACTGGTTCACATCTGGTAGATACTGGTACATGATTTAGATGTTCTGTCTCACATCTGTTAGATACTGGTTCATGATTTAGATGTACTGTCTCACATCTGGTAGATACTGGTTCATGATTTAGATGTACTGTCTCACATCTGGAAGATACTGGTACATGATTTAGATGTTCTGTCTCACATCTGGTAGATACTGGTTCATGATTTAGATGTACTGTCCCACATCTGGTAGATACTAGTTCATGATTTAGATGTTCTGTCTCACATCTGGTAGATACTAGTTCATGATTTAGATGTTCTGTCTCACATCTGTTAGATACTGGTTCATGATTTAGATGTTCTGTCTCACATCTGGTAGATACTGGTACATGATTTAGATGTTCTGTCTCACATCTGGTAGATACTGGTACATGATTTAGATGTTCTGTCTCACATCTGGTAGATACTGGTTCATGATTTAGATGTTCTGTCTCACATCTGGTAGATACTGGTACATGATTTAGATGTTCTGTCTCACATCTGGTAGATACTGGTTCATGATTTAGATGTTCTGTCTCACATCTGTTAGATACTGGTTCATGATTTAGATGTTCTGTCTCACATCTGGTAGATACTGGTTCATGATTTAGATGTACTGTCTCACATCTGGTAGATACTGGAACATGATTTAGATGTTCTGTCTCACATCTGTTAGATACTGGTTCATGATTTAGATGTTCTGTCTCACATCTGGTAGATACTGGTACATGATTTAGATGTACTGTCCCACATCTGGTAGATACTGGTTCATGATTTAGATGTTCTGTCTCACATCTGGTAGATACTGGTACATGATTTAGATGTTCTGTCTCACATCTGTTAGATACTGGTTCATGATTTAGATGTGCTGTCCCACATCTGGTAGATACTAGTTCATGATTTAGATGTTCTGTCCCACATCTGGTAGATACTGGTTCATGATTTAGATGTACTGGTTCACATCTGATAAATACTGATTAATCTTTTAGATGTACTGTTGCACATCTGGTTGATACTGGTTCAAGATTTAGATGAACTGTTTCACATTTGGTAGATACTGGTTCATGATTTAGATGTACTGTCTCACATCTGATAAATACTAGTTAATGATTTAGATGTACTGGCTCGCTCACATCTGGTAGATACGTGGTAGATACTGGTTCATGATTTAGATGTACTGTCTCACATCTGATAAATACTAGTTAATGATTTAGATGTACTGGCTCGCTCACATCTGGTAGATACGTGGTAGATACTGGTTCATGATTTAGATGTACTGTCTCACATCTCATAGATACTGGATCATTCTTGCGGTTTAATGGTTGACATCTAGATACTATATAGTCCATATGTATAATTAATCTAATGGGTACTGGGTCATGTTTGAGATATGCATGTTCATATAGCCTTTACAGTATTCTGCGAAACATTCAGGTAATTTAAAACTTGTGTATAATGTATTATAATATTTACACAATTTTCTTTTGTACAGTTACACTATTATCTAGTTAACAGTTGCACAATTTTCTTCTCTTTTAATAGCCGATTTCCTTGTCTATAAATAGCCGATTTCCTTGTCTATTATGAGTTTCTTGTCTGTAGTTACAAAATTAATTGTTTTACAGTGACATGGTTTTGTTATCTAGTTATGTGATTTTAATATCTAGTTACATTATTTTTGCCAAGTTACACGATTTCATAGGCTATATTTACCCGATTTTATTGTTTTAATTACACTATTTTCTTGTCTGTATTGTCTATTTTCTTGTCTGTATTGTCTATTTTCTTGTCTGTATTGTCTATTTTCTTGTCTGTATTGTCTATTTTCACATGATTACATGGCCGTTTTGCAATTTCTTTCAGGCCAGCTGGATTCAATTAAGAAAATAGAGTTATCAAAGCTTATATGTGAAAATATGGACATCCCTGACATACAACGAACTGCCTTCCTCACACCCAAGATAAGGTAAGAAGTTAAGGGTATATACTACCTTAGTGTAAATTGTTCTATTTTTTCCTGCTTGAAGAGCTGGTAAAATATACTTTGCGCAAATTTTAGATACATGCATGTATGTAGTTATGTTAAATATTATCACTATTTCTTTTTAGACACAAAAAATCAAATTCCATTGGACCATTCAGAACGCTAGGTGTTCATTTATGTAATAACCACTCCAGGCCCCAAGCCAGGGCCCATTTTTACTTGTACCCGAACTACAAGAAATAGTTAACATCTCAAGACCGAAATTATCAATACGTTTGAACTTCTTTTCAAATAATATCTAAAATCAATCTTAAATCTAACACTTTGAATGAAATCAAAACATTGTTTATCTTTCTTACAACTGCGAAAGGCATAAACCGTACATATATCCGTACCGGATCGCGACCACTAAGTTCTCGTCCGGTTTTTTTCCTACTGATTTTCTTATTCTTTTTTCCCAAAATGGGCAAACCACAATGCTTATCCTATTTTCGGGCATTTAAAGGTCACCAATAATAGAAATAAAAAAGTATTTTTCGCGCGAAATCAGTAGAAAATATCTTTAAAAAGAGATCCGTACATTGCGCGATGTACCGACAGCATTGCTTTTTTTAGCCTGTAACCACCAGAGGAAAGTAAAATATCTAGAGTTATTTCCCTTTTATTTATTTTAATTGGTATTCGTGTATTTTGTTGGTTTGAAGTGTCAAAATAAAAAAAAAAAAAAAAAAAACGTGAATGGTCTCACAAATAAATTAGTAGATATCCCAGGTTGGAAACAACAAAGGAAACACTAACGTGTCAAAAGACACGAAATTAAGGTTATATAAAAACGTTTATTTGTTGTCAGTTAAATTAAGGTTATATAAAAACGTTTATTTGTTGTCAGTTAAATTAAGGTTATATAAAAACGATTATTTGTTGTCAGTTAAATTAAGGTTATATAAAAACGTTTATTTGTTGTCAGTTAAATTAAGGTTATATAAAAACGTTTATTTGTTGTCAGTTAAATTTATTAAAGGTTTTCTTTTTAAAAAATTCTGAAAGTTTTTCGTAATATATAGAAGTCCAGTCTAATTAAGTTTCCGTATTAATAATCCACTAATTACACTCACTAATGACTTGCTACATATTTGCAATACATGAATATTCATGCATCTTTCATACTTCATTTACATATTGTCGGCACCGATGTAATATAAATCATCGGCATTGTAATACAAAGGTTTGCTATATTTTGTTAAGTATTAAATTTTCATCATGTAAAAACATTTCATGTATCCCCACCCCCCCCCCCCCCCCCCCCCAAAAAAAAAAAAAAAAAAATGGACAGTAATATAGATGCAATTGTGCCTGTATCCACAACTCAAAGGAAAGTACTGAGGGGATTATCACAGAAATTACACACTGCACAAATGTCTTAATCCCTTGTTGTAATTTTAGGTCAGGATGGTTGGCAGATAATCTCTGATATTGATATGACATTGAAATTGTACCGTTAAAAATCATCCTCAACCAACACCTGTTTCTGAGTTTGGTTATGAATGGACGTTCCAGTTTAAGGATTTTAGGGAACGCGACTACTCTGAGAAAAATACCTGTATGCATTGAGAATTGAACCCTTTGCCCTTTCTGATTTATATGTCATCAAAGATCATATTAAAATCTTGTTTTGTCACTAAACAGTTTTCATTAATTAGTTTTATCTAATAATCCTAAAACTGACTCATTCATTACTTGCTGTGAATGAGTAATACAATTTGCAAGATCTGCAGTTCTTAAGAAGATAAAAAAGTGGAAAGTTAACGGACGTCACGTGACGAACAACACACTCTGTATCTAGACTATAATCAAGTGACTTCGAAAATAGACCCAATCTCCATGTTATTGGAAAACTTGATACAGGAACATTTTTTACACATAGTCATTTATACATTGTGGACAACACATTTCATATAAGTTTCACTTAGTTTTCTGTTATCAAAGCAGATGGTTAACTTTTTACCGCCATCGTAATCACATCGCAATGGTCTCATGAATTAACTTTTGTGATATAAGTAATATTTGATGCATATTCCAAATATTTAGTTACATGTGCATAATTTCAATTTTATCCATGTAACTCTTAAATCATAGTTATTTTTTTCTGTCATTTGTGTCCTCAATACTGACAGTACTTTGATTTAATTGTTGCAGCGGGAGACACACACGTCACATCCCTTGCTCCTTCCTACCAGATTTAAACTTCAAAGCATGGCTTGACCGGAAACCGAAGTGGAGTGGAAAGCAAGCGCCACTGCCAACATCACAGCCTGTGACGTCAGAAGCAGTCCTTGCTTCCGAGAAGCCGACAGCACCGTCTCAAACAGTGACCGATGTCAAACCAACGGCAGAAATAGTTGAGGATAAAACGACAGTAGTGGCTGCTTAATGATATCGAGTCATGCCTCCTGGCGTACTAGTTCATTAATTTCAATGGTAGATACTTGGTAATAAAATAGATGATCTGTTGTTTTTCCTAAAGTTTTCTCGTTTTATTTTTTTCTCACGTTTTACATGTTTAAAGGGAGAGAACTTCGATAAAATGAAATTCATTTATGGCCAGGACAATTCGCATTTCTCTTGTAATGAACGAGTTTAAGTTAACTGACTACCTGTAATACATTTCCCATCTGTGTGTGTGTGTGAGTGAGTGTGTGTGTGTGTGTGTGTGTGTGTGTGTGTGGTGAGGTGGAGAGGGGAGGTAAGGGGATAGGGGTGCGGGTAGGGGTATAGATTTGCGTTAAGTCCTTCAGTCAAGACGTCCGGCCTGCCGTCCTTCTGCTATCTTGTCCTATCTGCATTTTCTAGCCACTGGAAGTTGATACTTGGCATATAGTTTCACATTGATGGGGTGGTGTGTAGCGTATCAAAACTAGGTCACTCTGACCTTCATTTTGACCTTTATAGTTTTTGCAGGCTCTATCTCCGTCACTCCTAGTAACTGATACTACAAACTTGAGACACGAGTTAACCTTCGGCAAAGTACATATTGTGACTTTAAATTTCTTTTGTTTGTCGTCATCTTTAGAATAAGCACACGTGCAGAATAGGATATATCAGGCAAACCTTTACATGGTAATGTCGTAATACTCCAACAGGAAAAGGAGAATGTCGGCAATTTCATTCACATAAGTTATCAAGAGACACAGCACAAACTACCTCACCATTTCCAATTCTGTTAGACCAGGAGAAAAGTTGTGCCTAAATTTTCGAAAAATAATGTACGCATAATATGAGAGGAATGTAGTTCTAACTTATTATTTACCAGTGTTAATAAGAATTCATAGCGACAAGGAAATTATTTCTATTTCAGTAAAAATTAGGAAAATATTTCCTCGATATTCTCCGATAACGAAACAAACTGGGACAGATTTTTATCTAAAACAAGTAACATGTATTGTGTGATACCCAGACAATCTGTCTATCTGTCCGGGTCCTTAGACTATAAACACAACGCATCCTACATCGTTTAATATATTAATTTGAAACTTCACACATGATACTACAAGCTGGCAAGGCTTTTTATTTTCACCATAGACATTCTGATACGAATCAGTACCAACCTAATTTGTTCATTCTTTTCAGGCAGGCACCGAAAACACAAAACCGTTTTGGCCTAAACATATAGACGTGCCAGGGGAGACAAGATCGCATTCTTTAAAATTTCATAACGCCTATCATTGAACAAGATCAATAAAACCCGAAATTTAACAATAACATTGAAACCCAATATTGAACAAGATCAGTGACACCCCGATGTTGCCGCAACTCCCCCCCCCCCCCCCCCCCCCCCCGAAATTTAACAATAACATTGAAACCCAATATTGAACAAGATCAGTGACACCGATGTTGCCGCAACCCCCCCCCCCCCCCCCCCCCCCCCCCCCCACCCACCCTCACCATTTTGCGAGAACAAAGCCTTGGATTCCATCATAAAAGATGCTTATAGGTCTACAACACTTAGTGTTCGTAAAATATTTAGGTTTTTTTTCTTCAGTTTCTCTACAAGAGGTCATAAGAATGAAATATACAAGGATAGACGGTACCTAGACATAAAAATAAAATTTGTTACAGAACTGATAGGTGTCACATCAGGCCCCGATTGTTCAAAAGCTAGTTTGGGATAATGGATTCGTGAAAATTTTCGAACATAGATTAAGCCAAATCGGGAACATTGTTTATCATTTCACAGTGTAGATTTGTTGAGACAAGTCAGACTGTTGGAGTGCTCGTTTTGCATGAAACACTCTTGTTTGTTCAGTGGCAGCAATTTGATTTCTTCACTAACCGCTGGTTAACTCTAACTTTCGAGCAAACGAGTCCAGATTGTCTCGTCATGAACAGTTAAACCACAGACAAAGAAAAGATTATAAGTCCGTGGTTAAACCATTTGCGTCAGTCGTGCCTTTGCCACCACTGGAACCGTACAACCTCCAACCAATCTTCCATAATTATAAGGAACCAGTTGTACTCTCTGTATGTAAATATGGTTATGATTATTATACAACCAAATTATGCGACCTGCAATGCAACAATTAATTCCTGATACTTACACGAAAATGTCATTTTTATCAAAACAGTACTGTTATAAATCGTATTGAGCTGACCGTGAGTAGGAAGTAATCAAAGTATCTGTGTATGGATTATCTCCCTTGGTCCGTAGAGAGACGCTAATCCTACTTGCATTTTAAAAAGGTGGGGGTGAAATTTGTACGCTGTAGCCGGTCCGGCCCAGATCCTCTACCAGGAAGTTAAGATAAAATCAACATTTCCAGAACAAAAAAATCTAATCTAATCTAATCTTGGATTTTCTACATAAATCTACTTTGATAATTTAAAAATCTGACACTTTGATTGAATTAATTTAGATATCGAGATTTTTTTTCATGGAATGAAAACTTGTACGCCGAAATCAGCCGTGGAAGTTTCCGATTTTTTGCAAAGTACAACTATTAAACGGTTTCAATCTAAGAATTTTTGAAATTCCAAACAATAGTTATACCAATCTGATTGTTAATGCATAAATTTAACCCAGAAAAGAGGCGTAATCCACATCTTATCTTTCATTTGTTATAATTGCGACGAGGATCGCCGGTCGTTTGTTACACACGACCCGCCCCCCCCCTCCCCCCCCCCCCCCCAGACCCAGTCACGTGTTAAAGGGTCTCCCTCTATGCATATGCATCAGACTAAAGGCATGGCCTTCACTCCTTCAGTCTGATGCCTATGCGCGTGGAACCTTCAACCTTCCTTAGTATAAGACAATCTAAGAATCTTACCGGACCTTGCGGCGAGGACACAGTTCTACGTGAAACCCATTTTACTATTATTATTTATTACATACGTTTGGTAATTCTATTTAAAAAAAGAATCATCAATATTAACATTATTAATAGCTTTGCTTACTTTATTCGTACAAACCCAATCCAAGATATTTGTATTGCTCTGCTATAATGAAAACACACCCCCGCCACTCCAAATAAACCTAGTCACTCGAAAAATTCACATTTGACCCATCACTAACAAATCTATTGCTCTAATCAAATTTTTTATTCAATATCCAACGACTTAACACATTTCATACGTATGGGATTGGAAAACAAGCTCAGAGCTTCTACAAATAATAGCAAATAATTCTCCGGAGATGGAAACACCTTACTTACACGGAATGAATAATAATAAAATTTAACAATTAATATATATACATGTGGTGAATTATGACGTCATGAATTGTTTATAGGTAGACAAAAGTTACCTTATATTGCTAAATATAAGTATATAATACTACAAACTGATTTACATTTCTAAAAACAAAAGGTGCAAAGATATTAGCTCAAACATTTACTTACTTTGATAAAATTTAGAATAAAACGATTTTATCGTTTTTCTGCTTTGAGTAAGCATAATTTCTTCATTAACTTTAATATCTTATTTTAATAACTTTTTTTGTCTGATTGCGGTATAATTGTCACAATACAGTAAAACCTGGTGGACACTTTCAGCTAATCCACAGGCACATAATGGACTATCCTCTAAATTCCTTATATATATGTGTTGCTTAAGATTACTACACTCTGATGTTTGCCAAAATTTTAATATGGATATTTCCAGTATCAAAATACTGAGGAATTATAACTTTGTCTTTTTGTTTAAAAATCCTGGTGATGGACGGATTTCCATGAATATTTATAGGTTATTTATTATATAACTGTATTGATTGTGTATTACAGTGTTGATAAAAATCTCCATGTTTGGCTTTATGTTTTACGCTAATGTCGTGGGTTCGATTCCCACGAGTTGTCGGTTTCCTACCTACCGACTGAACACTCGTGTGTTAGGAATGCATGCACCCATGGGGTAGTCACACTCTTACGACTGGTTGTGCTGGACTGCACTTTCTTATGATGTAGAACGATTTCTATAAACACATATGTTTTGTGGATAAAAAATCGCCCGAGCTTTATCACCATTACCTTGACCGCTTGACCACCTGATCACTTGACGTCTTGACCCATGGAATATGAAATCAAGATCATAAATGGCGCGAAACGCACCTCCTATACTACTCTCATAAATCTATGTAAACAATTAACATTAGTCTCCCATCAAACCCATTGAAACAAAATTCTACCAAGAAAACAATAGCTAAAACCCCATAATCAATCCCCTTTTTTCCTAATTTCTTATCATTCGCGTATGCTAATAAACTGACAAATGACCTTTTACCTTTGTTATTCTAACAAACAAATATATATAAATCTCCGTTATCTACCTCCTCTACTAAACCTGTCCAACGATCCTCACCTGTATGCTAGATTTGTGCTGAAACCGCTCTTCTTCTTTTCACCACTAAGCAATTCTCAAAACTGATGAATAACCTGTGTCCTGCATTCCGCCTACATTTTTTCTGTTACATAACACATAATATCAATATTTTCATTATCCATTATTATTCATTTTTCCTTTAAACTAAAAATCGAATAAACGAACAACATCAGTGACAGTTTTTATAATATATAATAAAAAGGGAAAAAGAAATGGTACACGTGTATAAGACCTAGAATTGTTGTACATTGAATTACAGTAGTTTGTTTCGTTTCGTTTCTACTGAAATAAATATTTTCACTAATTTAAATGAGAACAAATCTTTTTTTTACAAACTGAAGGAGTGGCCTCGAGCTCCCCCTCAAAGCATTGGACCTGGTCGAGTGATCAAGTGTAAAACAAATGACCCGCGATCCTCGCCGCAATAATAAGTGCAAGGTAAGGAATTACACCACTTTTCTGTGTGAGACTTGTGTATTTACAATAATGTTGGTATAATTATTATCTGGAATTTCAAAATATTTGAAATCAAACCGTAAATTAACTGTAGTAAGCAAAAATCGGAAATTTTCACGGTTGAATGCGTCGTACAAGTTTTCAACCACTGAAAAAAATGCCGATATCGGAAAATCTGGAAAACGAATTTTTGTGCCTACAAAGTGACAGATTTTTAAAACTCTGAAATATGTTTATTTATAACATTCACGGTTTATTATATATATATATTTTTTATATATATATATTGATTATTTCTTACTTTCCTGGTACGGTTATCGGACCCGGGCCAGGACTGGGGCAGGCGTACACTATTTTAACCACATCTTTAAAACGATTGCGTCAGTATTCATCAGGGTTTCGAAAGTATTTATCTTGGTACATATGTATGACGCTAACCGCGACGCAGCGAGAATCTTCACTTGCTATATCACCTTACAACTGTAAGATTACGCACTGTAAGGTAAGGTAAGTTGTCAGTAGCGCACTTTGCTATTTTAAACTGTCTATTTTCTATTCACCTTGTCAACGCCGCACATAATTGATGGTAACGTTATACTACATGAGACAGACACAGTCCTACGTGTGGTTGTATAATGAGGTTTACAAAACGTTCTCAAAATTGAGTTCGGAATAACGTCATATCGTTGAGATGTCGATAATTCAACGTAATTTGCATATCATATGTCTATTCATGTTTTGTCTGCTTTCGTAAAATATTGATGGCATGATATCTGTTTATTTACTGTTGGGCCCCTGTAAGTGATGACAGATCTACTTGCAGAATGACTGTGGATATACAATGCACGTGATATCGTGCAGGCTCCATCAGTTTCTGAAAAAAAAAATCACAAAGTTATCATTATCATGACGTGACAAAACATACGGTCATAATGGTGGCATGTTTATATTTGATAACAAAGCGTTGTCAGAATAGATAAAGACCTTGCTGTTTGTTATCTTGATTTTTTCCTTGTACGTTAATATATACGTCCCTGCTGAAATCAACGTGAACTTGGTACAAAAAAAAAAATGTATGATAGAAATGCACAGTGTCACAGCTGGAACACTTCCAAAAGGGAAGTATATTCTTTGGGCTAGTATAGTTTATCATATTTAGAAATTACATATATGTATGTTCCAGATAAATACACATTAACAATAACCCAGTGGTGACTACTACAGAACTGCATATTTTTTTTACACAAACGTTGTAAGATAATTCAATTGGAGAGATACTATTTAATTGTTATTCCTCAACAAAATGGTAAGTCAGGGCTAAGATGACCCTTTTGTACAAATGAGTAATTTATGGATCAGATTACAATTTTCAAAAGACAGAGCTTGAATGGCTTTACGGGCAAGTGAATATACTTTGGTATCTTATTTGTTGAATTTGTCTTTAACAATGGTCAATTGTTCCCTAGCGTACCTGACAATTTACATTTACAAGCTTACCATTAGACAATAATAGTTATACAACCGTACACAACAGAATACTACCAGACACAACAATATACAACTCAATACGCTTCCTAGTATACCATTGAACCGAAAAGTATGCCAATGAACACAGCTACAACAGTATACCACCAGACCTAACAGTATACCACCAGACCTAACAGTATACCACCAGACACAACAGGATACCACCAGACACAACAGTATACCACCAGACCTAACAGTATGCCACCAGACCTAATAGTACACCACCAGACACAACAGGATACCACTAGACATAACAGTATACCACCAGACACAACAGTATACCACCAGACACAACAGTATACCACCAGACACAACAGTACACCACCAGACCTAACAGTATACCACCAGACACAACAGGATACCACCAGACACAACAGTATACCACCAGACACAACAGGATACCACCAGACACAACAGTATACCACCAGACACAACAGTTTACCACTAGACACAACAGTATATAACCAGACAATACCACCAGACATAGCAGTATACCACCAGACACAACAGTATACCACAAGACATAACAGTTTACCACCAGACACAACAGTATACCACCAGACACAACAGGATACCACCAGACATAACAGTATACCACCAGACAGAACAGGATACCACTAGACACAACAGGATACCACCAGACACAACAGTATACCACATGACATAACAGTTTACCACCAGACATAACAGTATACCACCAGACACAACAGTATACCACCAGACACAACAGTATACCACCAGACCTAACAGTACACCACCAGACCTAACAGTATACCACCAGACACAACATGATACCACCAGACACAACAGTATACCAACAGACACAACAGTATACCACCAGACACAACAGTTTACCACTAGACACAACAGTATATAACCAGACAATACCTACACAACATAGACACAACAGTATACCACCAGTTTACCACTAGACACAACAGTATATAACCAGACACCTACAACATAACAGTATACCACCAGACACAACACTATACCACACAACATAACAGTTTACCACCAGACAAAACAGTATACCACCAGACACAACAGTATACCACTAGACACAACAATATTCCACCAGACCTAACAGTATACCACCAGACCTATCAGTATACCACCAGACACAACAGTATACCACCAGACACAACAGTATACCACCAGACACAACAGTATATAACCAGACAATACCTACAAACATAGCAGTATACCACCAGACACAACACTATACCACACAACATAACAGTTTACCACCAGACAAAACAGTATACCACCAGACACAACAGTATACCACTAGACACAACAATATTCCACCAGACCTAACAGTATACCACCAGACCTATCAGTATACCACCAGACACAACAGTATACCACTAGACACAACAGTATATAACCAGACAATACCACCAGACATAGCAGTATACCACCAGACACAACAGTATACCACATGACATAACAGTTTACCACCAGACACAACAGTATACCACCAGACACAACAGTATACCACTAGACACAACAGTATTCCACCAGACCTAACAGTATACCACCAGACCTAACAGTATACCACCAGACACAACAGGATACCACCAGACACAACAGGATACCACCAGACATAACAGTATACCACCAGATCTAACAGTATACCACCAGACACAACAGGATACCACCAGACACAACAGGATACCACCAGACACAACAGTAAACCACATGACATAACAGTTTACCACCAGACATAACAGTATACCACCAGACACAACAGTATACCACCAGACCTAACAGTACACCACCAGACCTAACAGTATACCACCAGACACAACATGATACCACCAGACACAACAGGATACCACCAGACACAACAGTATACCACCAGACACAACAGTTTACCACTAGACACAACAGTATATAACCAGACAATACCTACAAACATAGCAGTATACCACCAGACACAACACTATACCACACAACATAACAGTTTACCACCAGACAAAACAGTATCCACCAGACACAACAGTATACCACTAGACACAACAATATTCCACCAGACCTAACAGTATACCACCAGACCTATCAGTATACCACCAGACACATCAGTATACCACCAGACAAAACAGTATACCATCAGACACAACAGTATACCACCAGATGCAACAGTATACCACTAGACACAACAGGATACCATCATACACAACAATATACCATCAGACATAACAGTATACCATCAGACATTACAGTATACCACCAGACACAACTGTATGCCATCAGACATAACAGTATACCATCAGACATAACAGTTTACCATCAGACATTACAACATACCACCAGACACAACAATATACCATTAGACACAACAATATACTTCAAGACATAACAGTATACCACCAGACCTAACAGTATACCACCAGGCACAACAGTATACCACCAGACATAACAATATACCACCAGACATAACAGTATACCACTAGGCACAACAGGATACCACCAGACATAACAGTATACCACACAACACAACAGTATACCACCAGGCACAACAGTTTACCACCAAACACAACAGTATACCAACAGACACAACAGGATACCACCAGACACAACAGTATACCAACAGACACAACAGTATACCAACAGACACAACAGTATACCACCAGACACAACAGTATACCATCAGACACAACAGTATACCACCAGACCTAACAGTATACCACCAGGCACAACAGTATATCACCAGACACAACAATATACCACCAGGCACAACAATATACTACCAGACATAACAGTATACCACCAGGCACAACAGTATACCACCAGACATAACAGTATACCACCAGACATAACAGTATACCACCAGACATAACAGTATAGCACCAGACCTTACAGTATACCACCAGGCACAAGAGTATACCACCAGACATAACAGTATACCACCAGACATAACAGTATACCACTAGACACAACAGGATACCACTAGACATAACAGTATACCACCAGACATAACAGTATACCACCAGACATAACAGTATGCCACCAGACCTAACAGTATACCACCAGGCACAACAGTATACCACCAGACATAACAGTATACCACACAACACAACAGTATACCACCAGGCACAACAGTTTACCACCAAACACAACAGTATACCAACAGACACAACAGGATACCACCAGACACAACAGTATACCAACAGACACAACAGTATACCAACAGACACAACAGTATACCATCAGACACAACAGTATACCACCAGACCTAACAGTATACCACCAGGCACAACAGTATATCACCAGACACAACAATATACCACCAGGCACAACAATATACCACCAGACATAACAGTATACCACCAGGCACAACAGTATACCACCAGACATAACAGTATACCACCAGACATAACAGTATACCACCAGACCTTACAGTATACCACCAGGCACAACAGTATACCACCAGACATAACAGTATACCACCAGACATAACAGTATACCACTAGACACAACAGGATACCACTAGACATAACAGTATACCACCAGACATAACAGTATACCACCAGGCACAACAGTATACCACCAGACATAACAGTATACCACCAGACATAACAGTATGCCACCAGACCTAACAGTATACCACCAGGCACAACAGTATACCACCAGACATAACAGTATACCACCAGACATAACAGTATACCACTAGAAACAACAGGATACCACCAGACATAACAGTATACCACCAGACATAACAGTATACCACCAGACCTAACAGTATACCACCAGGCACAACAGTATACCACCAGACACAATAGTATACCACCAGACATAACAGTATACCACCAGACATAACAGTATACCACCAGACACAACAGTATACCACCAGGCACAACATTGTACCACCAGGCACAACAGTATACCACCAGACACAACAGTATACCACCAAACATAACAGTATACCACCAGACACAACAGTATACCACGAGGCACAACAGTGTACCACCAGACACAACAGTATACCACCAGACATAACAGTATACCACCAGACATAACAGTATACCACTAGAAACAACAGTATACCACCAGACATAACAGTATACCACCAGACATAACAGTATACCACCAGACATAACAGTATACCACCAGGCACAACAGTATACCACCAGACACAATAGTATACCACCAGACATAACAGTATACCACCAGACATAACAGTATACCACCAGACACAACAGTATACCACCAGGCACAACATTGTACCACCAGGCACAACAGTATACCACCAGACACAACAGTATACCACCAAACATAACAGTATACCACCAAACACAACAGTATACCACGAGGCACAACAGTGTACCACCAGGCACAACAGTATACCACCAGACATAACAGTATACCACCAGACATAACTGTATACCACCAGATACAACAGTATACCACCAGACATAACAGTATACCACCAGACATAACTGTATACCACCAGATACAACAGTATACCACCAGACATAACAGTATACCAACAGACATAACAGTATACCACCAGGCACAACAATATACCACCAGACACAAAAGTATACCACCAGGCACAACAGTATACCACCATATGATAGAGTATAACATATGTGTTTTTGTATCTTTTTCTGATTTATTAAATGAAAATTCTGACAATGAGTATTCTATATCTTCCGTTATAATCGTACAGTATTTTTCCTGTTTTTCTCCCCAGGATTTTCCAGAATTTCACACCAACACCAATAATATGGCTTCTGTCACAGATGAATCTGAGGTACGAGACAGTGTTAAGGAATATTATGGAAAGAAACTTAAAACAGTGGATGACCTACAGACCCAGGCATGTGTGGCTCCAGGAAGAAAGGTCACTAAACCTGTCAGAGAAGCAATAGAACTTGTTCATGAAGTTGTTGCTTCAAAGTAAGTTATCTGCCCTTGATTTAAAAAGCAGTTGCTTCAAAGTAAGTTATCTGCCCATGGTTTATAAAGTTGTTGCTTAAAAGTAAGTGATCTGCTCTTGGTTTTAGAAGTTGGTGCTTCAAAGTAAGTTATCTGCCCTTAATTTACAAAGTTGTTGCTTAGAAATAGGTGATCTGCCCTTGGTTTATGAAGTTGTTACTTCAAAGTAAGTTATCTGCCCTTGATTTATGAAGTTGTTGCTGCAAGTTATTTCTGATGTGAACTGAGCCAACTTATAAAATGGGGGAAAAATGGTTGTAACCAACGTGAAAATTTTGGTGTTGTGACCAGGTACTATGGATGTGGGCTAGTCATCCCAGAGAAACTTGAGGGGATGAAGATTCTGGACCTTGGTAGTGGTAGCGGACGTGATTGTTATGCCCTCAGCAAGCTGGTTGGTCCAACAGGTCATGTGACCGGAGTAGACATGACAGACGAACAGGTATTCCACAAAAATACTTTAAAAATTATTTTAATACAATTGAATATAATTAGAATTTCTTAATTCTGGAAAATATCTTTCTGACCTATTAGAGTTAGTGTTTGGTAATATGCAGAGGATTTGGAAATAATAATGTTTTAAACAAATGGTACAGCAAGTTAATATTGTTAGAATAGTAACTTTGATTTCGAAACATCATATATTTTCTGAAAATCGTAGGATGGGAAAGTGCTACTTTATTGTAAATATTATTAAGTAACCTTGAGTGTAAGGTCAGTTATACAAATTACAAATCTGTTCCATTTTGCAGTTCCATCTTAGATGGAAATAATGCTAGGGTAACAGGTTTTTTTACACTATGGAATTGTTACAGAAATGTTATAACACAGTACAACACAAAAATACGACCAAAATTTTATTGATGATGCTTGGAAAATGCAAAGTTGTTTATGAATATAATAGCTTGGATTTATTTTTAAAAAAGTGGAATTTGTTTTGATTTTGAAAGAAACATCATGACACTTGCTACAGTCTACTGTAACAATTTTATGTCATAACTGGAAAATAGTTTCTCTTAGGTAATGAAAACGAATTAGTCATTTATTACAATAAACAAGTTTAATTCTATCATTTAATTCATTTCACTGAACATTTGAAGTTTTTATCATATGGTTGTATTAATTTCTTAACATATGCCATTTGTAAATTTTATCCCACATGTTATCCTTTTTTTATTCTGAAGAAGTTATTTACCAGATTAATTGTATAAAACCATTTAGCTCAAATTTACCCTGGCTGTTGATGGCTTTCAAACACAAATAAACAATAAACACAAAAAAAATCTTAGCTGTTACCACTAAGAGTTTGTATCAGTTGTTTAGTCACTTAATTACAATGGGAGTTTATCTGATGATGATGATGGTGGTGGTTTATCGTCTCCATGACTCCGCCCGTCGCCGGGCGGAGTCCAATCAACGTTTATCTATCTGGTTGTTCTATTTACCATTATTTTCTGTATACCATACAAGGTTACTTCACGGTTGAGTGGTTTTTATCAGTAATAGATGATTTGAAATGAGTTTCAGATGAAAATGCGAAAAAAGAAGTGATGCCCTGTGGCATGTACGTTGAATAATTACCTAATAAACCTGAGTACTGATCGCCTTGATAAAATAACTGAAGACTGTCCTCTCTGACCAATAACTACATATATTTAGCATGTTGAAATGATGATATCACATGTATACAGAATGAGTATGACACACAGCCGATAGGGAAGTGATATTGAGTTAATGTAATTTTGAATTTTACGTACAAAGCCATTTACTTAAAAAATAGATGGTATTTTATTTATTTATAATTTTGATATCAAGATTCAATTAAATCATGATATTGAAATATATCTTAGTGTGTAGAAACAACTTTTGTTATCGCTGTTTCGTCAGATGTTCTGGATGGATCTTTGTCAAACTTCATATAAAGGTTCCTCATTGTCTCTTGTTGTGCATGGTTGATTTGGGATCTGAACAGAAAAACAGTATGGCTGACCGGTGGCTACCTTGGATTTTTACAATGAATTTTCTTAATGCAATTTCTTGAGAAGTACTGGATGGATCTTTTTCAATTTCATAAGTAGGTTCCCCTTGGTTCCTAGTTGCATGTGCCCATTCAGTTTTGGGACTGATCAGAAAAACAAAATGGCCAACAGATTGCCATCTTTCATTTTTACAAAGAAAGTTTGTTCTAGCTATTTTGAGAAGCATTGGATGGATCTTTCTCAAATTCCAAAGTCAAGCTTTCCTTGGTCCCATGATGTGCCTGTTTGATTTTAGGTTTGATCACAAAAACAAAATGGCTGTGAGGTGACCATCTTGGTGTCATCGCTATTTACGCAAAGGGATATTCTTTTTTTGTATCAGTAAGAACAAAATCAGAGGAGAGAAGAGAAAAGGAACAAATAAAGATCAAACAGTGGTGGTCACCACAATCTCTTCAGTTTGTTCTTTTGTTTATTTATAAAACATATGATCCATAGAATTTTAGACCAAATGATTTACAAATGTTTTTCGAGTGGGAAGTTATACTTAGACTTAACTGCTATGGTAGTACTTTGGAAATGGTAGTAGTGTGATGGAAAAGCTACAGGAGTATTGTAAACAAGGAACAGAAACACGACGCCGAAAAAAGGAATAGAAAACGTGCTCAGGTCTGTAAAAAAAACAAAATCACTGCTGGAAAGAAAGAGCTTGCAAATGGAGCATATTAAAGATTTGTGAAATGCATGGATTTTATTGTGAATTCTTGAATTGGGAAATTGATTGACTTTTAGCAATTTCCCTTTCTAATTAAGCTTAAGATACCTGATTGACCAACAAAAGCATTTCAGTATATTTGAGTCCTGTATAGTCGAATTTCAAAATCAATGCTCTATATATCGATATATATACTTGTATAAATAATATTTAACAAGATAATCTCACAATATTACTTAATTCATCAGTTGCAAATATGTCCTATTTAAATCTATGTGCCCATCAATGGCACAAGGTTACATTGAATTATAACAAGGCAAAATACGTGCATATAGTCGTCATCATGAAAATCACCAACAGTCCAAACGTTTAACAAAGTATGTAAACCATCCGTGAACACATATGTGTAAACCTTTATGATAACTATATATTATCATGACAACATCTATATTTCAAATCTTTATAAAAAAAAACACTAAATAGAACATGGTACAGTCTCTCATTATCTCAAACTCAGCGTTACCTTGGGAAAACTTTCAGGTAACAGTGTATTTGATTCAAGTGAGTTCAAATGTTTTATTTTAAGTTAGGCAGGGGCCAATGAAATTCTTCAAATTAAACAGGGTCTTTGAGTTGTATGAGTTGTAAAAATATGTTTATATGAATATGATGATTGATTATGAGGATGATGAGGATGATGTTGATGATACTGATAGATGCTGGTATTATGAATACAGATGATGATGATGAGGAATGATGATAAATATGATGATTGATTATGAGGATGAGGCTGATGATAATGATGGATGATAATGATGAATAAGGACGTTAATTGTGATTGAATGAGGATGAAATCTTGATAACTGATTATTGTAAACTACTGCTTGTTGAATGTTGATGATGATGATGATGATGACGACGACGACGACGACGGCGGCGGCAAAGAAGAAAAAATGAGAAAATGTACATGTGAGTGTGTGAGTATGGATGACGTGTAATGGTGTGAGTGTGGATGACGTGTAATGGGGTGAGTATGGGAGACATGTAATGGTGTGAGTGTGGATGACGTGTAATGGTGTGAGTGTGGATGACGTGTAATGGTGTGAGTGTGGATGAAGTGTAATGGTGTGAGTGTGGATGACGTGTAATGGTGTGAGTGTGGATGACGTGTAATGGTGTGAGTGTGGATGACGTGTAATGGTGTGAGTATGGATGACGTGTAATGGTGTGAGTGTGGATGACGTGTAATGGTGTGATTGTTGATGACGTGTAATGGTGTGAGTATGGATGATGTGTAATGGTGTAAGTGTGTGAGTATGGATGGTGTGTAAGTGTGTGAGTGTGGATGACATGTAATGGTGTGAGTATGGATGATGTGTAATGGTGTGAGTATGGATGATGTGTAATGGTGTGAGTATGGATGATGTGTAAGTGTGTGAGTGTGGATGACGTGTAATGGTGTGAGTATGGATGATGTGTAATGGTGTGAGTATGGATGATGTGTAATGGTGTGAGTATGGATGATGTGTAATGGTGTGAGTATGGATGATGTGTAATGGTGTGAGTATGGATGATGTGTAATGGTGTGTGTATGGATGATGTGTAAGTGTGTGAGTGTGGATGACATGTAATGGTGTGAGTATGGATGATGTGTAATGGTGTGAGTATGGATGATGTGTAATGGTGTGAGTATGGATGATGTGTAATGGTGTGAGTATGGATGATGTGTAAGTGTGTGAGTGTGGATGACGTGTAATGGTGTGAGTATGGATGATGTGTAATGGTGTGAGTATGGATGATGTGTAATAGTGTGAGTATGGATGACGTGTAATGGTGTGAGTGTGGATGACGTGTAATGGTGTGAGTATGGATGACGTGTAATGATGTGAGTGTGGATGACGTGTAATGGTGTGAGTATGGATGACGTGTAATGGTGTGAGTATGGATGACGTGTAATGGTGTGAGTATGGATGACGTGTAATGGTGTGAGTGTGGATGATGTGTAATGTTGTGTACTGGTGTGAGTATGGATGACGTGTAATGGTGTGAGTGTGGATGATGTGTAATGGTGTGAGTATGGATGATGTGTAAGTGTGTGAGTGTGGATGACGTGTAATGGTGTGAGTATGGATGACGTGTAATGGTGTGAGTATGGATGATGTGTAATGGTGTGAGTATGGATGATGTGTAATGGTGTGAGTGTGGATGATGTGTAATGGTGTGAGTATGGATGATGTGTAAGTGTGTGAGTGTGGATGACGTGTAATGGTGTGAGTATGGATGATGTGTAATGGTGTGAGTGTGGATGATGTGTAATGGTGTGAGTATGGATGACGTGTAAGTGTGTGAGTGTGGATGACGTGTAATGGTGTGAGTATGGATGACGTGTAATGGTGTGAGTATGGATGACGTGTAATGGTGTGAGTATGGATGATGTGTAATGGTGTGAGTATGGATGATGTGTAATGGTGTAAGTGGATGTATATGAATACTGTATACGTTTATATGTCCTAAAATCTTGAAAATAAAATAATTATAAAAAAAAATATATATGTTTTCATGGCAATCTAGACAGTTAATACTGCCATAAGGTCAGAGTAAGTGTGATTAGTTTCTAGTTACTTGTTTTAAAGATAATCATCTTTATTTTGTTTTAACATTGTACAGCTTGATGTGGCCCGCGAGTACATTGGATATCACACCAAGAAGTTTGGGTACACCAAACCCAATATTGACTTTGTAAAAGGTTACATAGAGAAACTCAGCGAGGCCGGGCTGCCATCAAACAACTACGACATCATTGTGTAAGTAAATGACACATACTTGTAGGAGTGGACAATCATTACTAGTACAAAGCATCAATGTTAATATATTGCTATGAGACTAATAGAGTCTTACATGAGTCCCTGAACAGGGATATCGTAATCCACCTTGACACCTGTGGGAATTTGCTGGTCAGCGCTGACAGCTTCATGCTGAGGCCAGCCAAACTCTGACACAAGGCATGAGATATCAAACTTCATGGAACAGGCATTATGGTCAATTATTTTTCTTACTTATATATAATTACTTTAAAAGAAAAGAAATTGTAAGTTGACTTGAAACTTATTCATTGCGCCACTATAATCAATTATGTCCCATGAAATGTGAGTCAAAATTGATGATGTTATTAATTTGCGACATGGTTATGCTACATACAGTGATGATATACCCTGTTGTGAGTAACGTCATTGCGTTTGCCAGCTGTGTATCCCTACCCTGTGTAAGATTAGCAGAGACAACCATCTGTTACTGTAAGTTACGTAGAATAAAGATGCTGTACCTGAGAGTGCAGAATTTAGGTCAAAACCAAAGTTTTAAATAAAGCAACATTTAAAAAGATGAAAAAGGTATGATATACCTTAGGTATGCCTCAAATTTAAAGAACGACTCAATCTCTTCATTGTGAGCTGGTATAATTTGTACACAAGATGGAGTCACTTGCTAACAGCAAGATTTTCATGAACAGGTAAGCAGTTATAGAATAAGCATATCCCACATAGGCAGAGAAGGGAGAATCCCTCTCTTATCTCGGTTAAGATAGATGAGAATTAATCCCCCATAATGAAGTCCGAAGGCTGGAAGGTTAAAATTGCACTATGTCAACCTATAGGTGTGTGGTATTGACCTTCAAAGACAAAAATATAGCATGCCATCAATCTGAGCAGCTGACCCCTGGTCCATGCTTAACCCCTGTCATATAACTAACACCTGCCTGGTGCATTCTACATGGAACTAAGGGATTAGCTGGTGAAGTATGTGAGGAAACAATATACAAGTTGTTCAAGCTGAGTGGGATGTAATAACTTGGAGCATCCAAGATAATGCTCTATCAATAGAGCTTTAATAAAGAATTTTTTTATATTTTCTGGTAAACGTAAACTTCAAATTTTCGTGATATATATATATTTTTTTTTGTATCATTCGTTTCCAGCTCCAACTGTGTGGTGAACTTGTCCCCTGATAAGAGAGCTGTCCTACAGGAATCCTATAATGTCCTTAAGGTAAATGGATGGTGCTTTGTCCTGTTATGTATACACCATTCATTTTATACAAATCGTTACTTGTTATAAATGACTGAGCAGATTCTTACCTCATTCCTTACGTAAGGAGACACAATTTTGTATAAATGTTGGGTCTGATTCCTCTTGTGGGAAGGCGGGGCAGGGTTTGATAAAGGACATGCAGCAAGATTTGTTAGAATGGTTCTATTTTGTTCAAATTTAGTTTGAAGAATCCTTGTGTGAAGAGAAGTCGATTTTGAATTAATGTTAGGTCAGACCCACTCCAAGGAGTAGAAGGCAAGGTTCAATATGGGAATTTAAATTATTCCTGATCAGGCAAATGACATCCTACCAAAATTTTGTGTAAAATTCAATGTTTCTGCTTGTTTTCATGATTTCAGGAAGGTGGGGAACTGTTTTTCAGTGATGTTTATGCAGATCGAACTTTAGAAGAATCTGTACGCAAACATAAAGTTTTATGGGGTAGGTAATTTGAATACTGGCAGATGTGAGAGGCCACTTATTTCTATACCATATTGTGACCTTATTTTTTCGTTGACAAGTCCATTAAATTACAAAATTTACTTTGAATGCTAGGTTCCTTGGCAGCAAATTCTGTATGCTTGACAGTTGTGTATGACATGATTGCAAAGCCCAGACGAACTGAAACAAAGTTACAAAAATGTACACATAATCTTAAATTTAAGTCTTTAATCTGTTTAGTACATTATGTTAAATATATCCCTTGTTCAGGCACAGTTGAATTACAATAAACTAAAGTGATTAATGCTGTCTTTCGTCCTTCCATTGTATCATTTGTACATTTTAGTAAACATATAGAGTTGAAACTTGTTGTCTCAAAATCGCTGGAGTCAAAATAATTTCCATGTCCCAATTTTTCCCTTTCTATATCTTTTTAATATCTTTTTAATTTTAGTTTGAATGACTCAAATTTTATTTAGTCGAAATTTCTGTATATGCAATATATGGAATGTGAAAAGCATGCTGATCAGTCAGAGTTACTTCCCTTGGCTTCACTATATGAGATTGTTAAAAAGCAAGAGCCAGTACAGTATAAAACAAAAGTGATGAATTTTTGGGACAAATAAGCCATTTTCATTTTCTTTATCTTTCCCTTTGATTTTTGACAAAATAGGAATTTTTAATTACATAAGGTATATAATGTTGATAAAAAATTTACATGAAACTTGAGATTCATACTTTTTTGTTTGAGATAATTCAATGCATGTTCGTTCAAGTTTTAATGTTTACATGTAGTGATGCAGTGTCAGGAGTAAGCTTTGATTTATGTGTACAGGTGAGTGTATAGCCGGAGCACTTTGGTGGAAAGAACTTCACAACCTGGCCAGTGAAATTGGTTTTAGCAAGCCCTACATGGTCACTGCCACACCGATTCCTGTTGACCGTGATGATTTCAAGGCAGTCTTAGGTCAGTAACCTCCCTTGACAATTGACTATTTAGATGTCCTGTATTTCGGGGTCACATAAAATCTCTATACATGGAAAACTTAGAGCCAATGAATTTCAATTACTTTATTCATTGCAAGTTTGTTTCAGAGTTCTCCCGTCAACCTATTTTTCTTAATATCTTAATAAACTACTACAGTCAATGTTATACAATCGAGGATCATAGTATGGAAATATTTTGATTTTGATAAGCTGGAAATGTTCGTACATATTTTAGGTATAAGACAAGGCCCAAAAAGGAAAATTTTGGAATTTTTAAAAAAATCTTACTCCTCCTATAAGAATAAATGGGTATTGCCCAAATTTGGTTTGAAGTATCTTTGGATGAAAGGGACTAAGTTCTGTAAAAACAGTGCATTCTGGCTCCCAGGGCTGGAGTGGTGGGCTCAACTTCTTAAAAGTCCTTCTTTCATGCAAGGATATTGTCCAAGTTTGGTCTGAGGCAATTTCTTTGAATAGTGAATCTGACCACTGTTTGACCTCAAGGCAGGGACTTAATAAGGGAAATTATATCAGAAATTGTTTATTTATTGTTATTTCTATATTTATTTATTTTCAAAGTCTTTTCTAAATGGCTGAATAGCTAAATTAGCCAGATGAGCAATGCCAGCCCATTGGGCCTCTTGTTTTGAATTTACAGTAAAAATTTTGTATCATTTGTGGTGTTACAGGTGATGCTAAATTTGCTTCTGTGACATACCGGTTGTTCAAACTGCCGTCAAAAAAATGTGAGGCAACCCAGGTGATATACAATGGAGATATACCATGCTACGAAGAGGTGTTCACCTTTGACTACAAAAACAGATTCAAAGTATGGCTTCTATTAAAGATACCATTATTGTAAAGCTTGAAAAATTTGTATTCACAAAATTAATTTTTCCTCTTAAAAAGTATAACAGTATAATGCTATCTGCCTCTCTATCTACCAATATATCAGTCTGTCTGTCTGTCTGTCTGTCTGTCTGTCTGTCTCTCAGACAGACGGACGGACAGATACTGGTTGCAGATTTGGACAAAACAGTTACATTTTATCAACTTGATTGATAAGACTTGTTGGTTTAGGTAAAATGTAGTATACACAATTGAAAAAAGGTAGTATACACAATTAAAAAATGTAGTATTTACAATAAAAAATGTAGTATTCACAATAAAAAATGTAGTATACACAATTAAAAAATGTAGTATTCACAATAAAAAATGTTGTGTACACAATGAAAAATTTAGTATTCACAATAAAAAATGTATCAGAAACAATTAAAATTTGTAGTATTCACAATAATAAATGTATCATACACAATTTAAAAATTTAGTATTCACAATAAAAAATGTTGTGTACACTATAAAAAATGTAGTATTCACAATAAGAAATGTGTTATACACAATTAAAAATGTAGCATACACAATAAAAATTAAGTATACACAATCAAAAATGAAGTATACACAATCAAAATGTCTTATACACAATAAAAATGAGGTATACACAAATAAAATAATGTAGTGGACACAATAAAAAATGTTTACTGTAAAGTTGTTCATTTTTGTGAGGGATTTATATTCATTGATTTTTGTTGTTACTTTTTATCCACTAACTTGCATGTTCATGAAATGATAAAATTACAAAATTAAAAAAGTGATTAATTGAGCTACAGTGTATAAGTAGACACAGAATAAAGTGACAACATAAGCAAGATTTTTTTTCAAATCCACAAAATATAAGCCCCACAAAAATTGGTGATTTTACATTACAAATGAATGTGGATATTACAAGACTATCCAAATACGGACTGAAAATAATGTATTTTTCACCCTCTGATTTTATATTCATCTTTAATTTCTGAATGACGGAACAGAAAGAGTTTTTACATACATGTATCTATGCCTTTTATGATTAATTTACTTGAGAAAGAACTTTCACAGGTATTTATTGGCTGTTAACCAAAACTGGTTGTTTGTAAGAGCTATGCATTTGTTTAAATGGTCTAAAAAGATTTGATAATCTATTGTTTGCCTTACACTAGACCAATGACATCAGTTCTGTAGATGGAAGTATTACAACAGCTCTAAAGTCTTCCAGATTTTGTGATGAGTTTGATTTTCAACCAGCAGTGAAGAAATCATGTGGCACATCAGATGGCAGTGCAGATTCCCAGGTAAATTACAAACTGCATTATGAAATATTTTTATCTGAATTAGATAATATCTACAAATTGATGTTTTCCCATAGTTGGTCTTCTTTATTTATAGTCAATCTCCTTTATCTATGGTCAGACTCCTTTGCCCATGGTCAGTCATATTTGTCAGACCAGTTATTTTTTTCTTGTCAGATCATTCCTCTTTGTCTATGATCAGTCTCCTGTGTCCATGGTCAGTCTCTCCTGACTATGGTCAGTCCCCTGTGTCTATAGTCAGTCTCTCCTGACTATGCTCAGTCTCCTGTGTCCATAATCGTCTAACAATGGTCAGTCTCCTGTGTTCATAGTCTTCTAACTATGGTCAGTCTCCTGTGTCTATAGTCAGTCTCTACAAACTATGGTCAGTCTCCTGTGTCCATAGTTCTCAAACTATGGTAAGTCTCCTGTGTCTATGGTCTGTCTCTACAAACTATGGTCAGTCTCCTGTGTCCATAGTTCTCTAACTATGGTAAGTCTCTTGTGTCTATGGTCTGTCTCTACAAACTATGGCCAGTCTCCTGTGTCCATAGTCCTCTAACTATGGTAAGTCTCTTGTGTCTATGGTATGTCTCTACAAACTATGGCCAGTCTCCTGTGTCCATAGTCCTCTAACTATGGTAAGTCTCTTGTGTCTATGGTCTGTCTCTACAAACTATGGTCAGTCTCCTGTGTCCATAGTTCTCTAACTATGGTAAGTCTCTTGTGTCTATGGTCAGTCTCTACAAACTATGGTCAGTCTCCTGTGTCCATAGTTCTCTAACTATGGTAAGTCTCTTGTGTCTTATGGTCTGTCTCTACAAACTATGGCCAGTCTCCTGTGTCCATAGTCCTCTAACTATGGTAAGTCTCTTGTGTCTATGGTCTGTCTCTACAAACTATGATCAGTCTCCTGTGTCCATAGTTCTCTAACTATGGTAAGTCTCTTGTGTCTATGGTCTGTCTCTACAAACTATGGTCAGTCTCCTGTGTCCATAGTTCTCTAACTATGGTAAGTCTCTTGTGTCTATGGTCTGTCTCTACAAACTATGGCCAGTCTCCTGTGTCCATAGTCCTCTAACTATGGTAAGTCTCTTGTTTCCATAGTCCTCTAACTGTGGTAAGTCTCTTGTGTCTGTGGTCAGTCTCCTCTGACTATGGTCAGTCTCCTGTTACTATGGCCAGTCTCCTTGATTTATGGTAAGTCTCCTTTGTCCTATCACCACAAAATGAAATGTAACAGTATTTATTTACTGACATTATAATTTTTTGGTTATATAGCTATATCAGGCTTTCTCTGTAAGCCTCTCTAATCAAATTCTGCTCAATAACCAGATCTGAAAATATATGCATGGGAAATAGATTTTTGTTTTTAATGGAATCATTGCTTTCTCCATGCTGCTTTCTTGCCTTTTTTCTCCTTGTCATTATATTATCTCTTTATGTTTCCTTTAATTCCTGATTTCTATGAAAATTCCCAAGAGCATGACAACTACAGCATGTCAATGGCATAGCTCTGGAGCTTTCCACATCAACAATGACTAATCTGTCATCCATAAAATAGTGTTCTTATGTTTTTCAGCCTGATGATCCCTTTGTTTACCTGGACGAAAAGATTAAGAAGGGAGAGAATGTTGTGCCGCCTCCGTGCTGTGGCAGCAAGTGTTGTTAGAGCAAGACGAAACAATCAACATTCTCATTTAATTGGAAATTTGAAATTTCTCTTCCTGAAAGGTTAAAAATTTCAGCATTTAAAGATTTGTAGTTGTTGTGAAGGTATTGTTAATAATACAAAACCCCAAAATATCATTTTGTTCATAATACCTTCATGATATGTTAAAAAGAAATGCTTTTTTCATTTTGTGGCAGAGTGGTTTGGGGGTTGAGGAGGAGCAGGAAATGGCATAAATGAGAAAAAAATATATAGAATTAAATAGTTTAGGAGAATGTGAATAGATGTGAGGGAGCTGATATGTGATTATCCACAAATAGAAAATGCAGGTAGTATGATTAAGTGATATGAAAGAAGAAGGGGATTAGAAAAGTAGTGATACCTGGAATAATGCCATTCAATACAAGGTGATTACCATCATGCTTTTGTTATTGTGGGATATTACTTTGAGTTGCCATGTTCAAGATTTCTTTATACAAGGGTACATTGTTCAACATAATTCCCTCATGGCTATGAGAGATGAAGGAAAGGTGAAAGGTAAAAATATTGTGGAATTTTCAAGTGTTTCACCATTAATATAGCATTAATGAACCATTTATATACATACTTTCTTGTTAAAATCTGTTTAAAAATGCTCTTGTTATTCCTGATTCTCTGTTTCCCAATTTGATTAACTTTAATATAAGTTGTATTGTAGCTGTTATGGGTCAGTGAGGGACAGAAATCTTGCGTCCAATTCTGATCAAACTTCATATTAATTTAAAGGAAAAACAATCAAGTGTTATTAAGCTGTAGTTTATTGGATCACATTGAATCAAGAATATAATCGGTAATTCTTTTGTTGTAAGGACAAACTTTCGACAAAGTATTCAAGCCTTTTAAACGCAAATCCACGAATTTCAAAATACTTGTAGTCAAAATGAAATGGAATCATTACTCAGAATACACATATATTGTGTTTACCAGTGTGTATATAAGCTTAAATTGAACAAGATAATCAGACTGAGAAAAGATTTATCAATAATTTATAGCCTTTTAAAAATTGTTGCTGGTAATGCAGACATGCATTGATTTATGCTGCCTCTTCCTACTGCAGCTTAATCATGAAGGGAAGATTTTTTGTTTTAAGGTGATGTGTGTTCTGCATATGTTTTTATTCATGAGGTTATCATTTATATATCCAGTCTGTTGATGAACAGTAAGAAATTTCAATTTCATTAATATTGGTTTAATTCTTGATGTGCATATTTAGCCAAAACCAAAAGACATTGTTTACAATGTGGTACATTTTGTAGATATATATACAATTATAGAAAAAACGTAAAAATAAAAGGCATTTTACTCAAGTTTCACTTTAATTTAGCTAATGGTACAAGTAAGTTATGATACACCTAGCATTGATGACATGAAACTATCAAAGGAACTGTCACACTATGTTTATAATGAAAGTGTAAGGGGATTTTTTTCACATTTCTCTACGATTGAATATTAGTTATCATGTATATGTGCTTTATAATTAAAAATAATTTAATATCCATTGTAGGTTGTATTAAATTGAAGCCTGTCTGTATTTCAAAACAAAATTGGTTTTGTTTTTTAAAAAAACATTGAAATATGTCTTTTTATATTAATCTATTAATATCATTCCTGATGTCTATTTGTGTAGTGGGATTAAAGCCAGTATTCCCAATTATTCACATTCATAATTTATCTTTTATGTATTCGTTAAAAATGTTCTTTCTTCTGCAGAAAAATTGTATTTCAGATGGGATTTTGCCCTATAAAATACATTGAAATTTTCATACATGTGTATGTTCAAAAGAAATTTCTCATTTTTCTTCAGAAATAGGAGTGTTTATTTAATTGAAATAGTGTTTATTTCTATAATTGTGATTCTGATTTATCTATCTCAATAAATTTGTCAATCTTATGGGGTTTAAGTTGCTCGGATCAGTCAGTGCTTTGACCTATGCTACCTTATTGGTAATTAGTAATCGTAATGATCCAATGGGTGTTAAATGACGCTTCATTTAGACCTTTGTGTCTCTCACCAAGCTGAGAAATAGACTGGTCTGTGCTGACATGGAGGTGTCTTGAAGCAAGCCACATTACCCTTGTCGGTCTGGATAACTTTCGACGGGCCTCTCATATGTTGTTCAGTGATGTAGCCACGATCTACTTCAAAGAGACCCCGCCTCAAAATGACCCAGGCGATAAACCAAACAAAGAAGTTATTTCCATAGTTAGCTCTTTGGTCATACTGATGGTAATATGATGAAACTTTGTTTAGGCACATTGATGCTTTTATCGAGATACAGACTGTTGATTCTTATGACGATTTTTGCTTTTGTTTTTTTTTATGATAATCCAATGAAATTGATATTATTATGGTGACTAGTCTGTTTATGGGATTGTTAAGGATTGATATACAATGTTTAAAAAAAAAATAAATAAAAGACGGAACAAATTGATTAACGTGATTTATCTCTTCATAGGAATATTTAATTTCGTTAGAACAAAAGAACGCATTGTATGGCTTCTGTAACGTCATACTTAAATCTACTGGTTTTGTTATAAGAGCTATTCATGGGCAATATTTGTATGATAGGTCAATTTCTTCATGTAGATGTATGTGGAGTTTCGTTTAACATGGCTATTCAACAGGGTAATCTGCAACGCTATCAGACATTAAAAATCTACCTTTGACCTCCTCTACCCGATAGAGAGTCTCAAACTGTTCATGCGACACAACCAATCTATTCTAACAGAACTTGACGTGTATTTTTTATATTTTTTTTCGTCGTCAACAAGTTCTAGACCGAATTTTCTCTGACTGCGACACTAAATTTCGACATCTTGATATGTATCCGCCAAAATGTCTGCTGTTGGGGCCATATCGAACCAGAGAAAACTAAGGTTTTCATGAAAAACAAAAACAATGAATAGAAGCGCATCTTTTGGTCATCAAATGAATTTAAACTGTTTAAAAAACACATTTTAAAGAGGATAGAGTGACAAGGAAGACACATATCGTAGCTTATACGTTGTAATACGGCGTCACTTCTCAGACAGTTGTCGTGTCGTGTAAGCCTCAGGCCCCGACGGAATCGGTCATAAACTACTTAAACCATTGGCACATTTCTCTTCCTCTCAGTATCCTTTTTAACAAATCAATACACTCGTCTATGTTCCCTCCCAGTGGAAAACAGCAAATGTCGTACCCATCCACATAAAGAAGACCCCTCACTTGTAGAGATCTATCGGCCTATCTCCTTGTTGTGTTGTCTCTCCAGAATCTTCTAACGAGTGGTTCACAAACACGTTTATAATCATCTTCACGATAATAATCTGATCTATCCTTTACAATCTGGCGTTCTTCCTAACCAATCTACCACCTTTCAACTCATCGAACTCTATCATACCATACTAGACGCACTAGAAAAGAAAGACCATACTGTCCTCGTATTTTGTGATTTCTCAAATCCGTTTGACCGCGTCTGGCACGAAGGTCTGATTTTAAAACTTCGTAGTTATAGCATATCTGGTAAATTACTTTCCTGGTTTTCGAGTTATCTTCTAGATCGTAAGCAATCCGTTGTTCTCCGTAATAATTGTTCAAACCCTGGGTATACCAAAACTGGGGTTCCTCAGGGATCAGTCTTAGGGCCTCTTCTCTTTGTAATTTATATCAATGACTCATCAGAAACTCTTAACTCTTTGACAAGACTTTTCGCTGACGACACATCTCGCTCCTATTCATCGCCAGACATTGAGACAACAGTTAATAGTGACCTTCGAAAGTTACAGGAGTGGTCTGAGGAATGGCTTAGTCCTTCAACACCAACAAGACTGAAATTATGATTTTTTTCTTGCCGTGCCTTACCTAGCATACCAGATTTCAAATTCAATAGAACGACAATTCATGCGACTGACAGACATAAATATCTCGGACTGACATATAGTATTGACTGTAAATGGAATGCCCATATCGCCAGCATAAACTCTGCCTCTAAGCAATTAGCTATTTTACGTAAACTCATGTACATTCTTTCGAGACGAAATTTAGAGAAACTTTACTTTTATCAGACCTCTCCTGGAATATGCTTCAGAAGTATTGGACAATTGCGGTGCGACAAACGAAGACAGATTGGAAAGAGTGCAGCTCCAGGCGGCTAGGATCGTCACGGGACTACCACTTTACACTAAATTAGACATTTATTCAGAAACAGGCTGGGTTACACTAAAACAACGACGCTACGAAAAAACTCGCACTATTTTACCGATGCAAAAACAATCTAACACTGTCATTTCTTAACAGCCTAATACCCAATCAACCAGTTGAACCACGATATCAAACACGAAACCGCGATAATGTCTACATTCCAAGATACAGACTTCAATCCATGAACACCTCATTTATACCACATTCTTGAAAACTTTGGAACAAATACAACCAGACACAAGGAACTCGGACACCCTGAAATCTTTCAAATCGACAATACACACACCTACAACCATATCATATCCTTTAGAACTCACGGAAAACGTCACACAAACACACTTCACTGTCGACTCCGCAACAGAGCAAGTACACTTAACTACGATCTTTACCGAGCAAACTTCCACATAGACCCTTCCTGTTCTTGTGGTAGTCCCTGTGAGGATGCTGACAACTTCTTGCTGCACTGTCCGAACTTTGACCCCCTGAGGAACCTCATGCTTTACGAAATCCAAGTAGTTGATATGCACCTTTCCCCAGTCTTAACTTACTACTTACTATATGGCTCTCCCAATATTGATAATTTTAAAAAATATAGGAGTATGCAACGATGTACAGCAATATATTGAGCGCACTGTGAGATTCGGGTAGACTTCATACAAGTGCGAACCATGTATATATACATTGTACTATATGTTAATCATGCATTTTGATTTGTATATTTATATGCCATCACGTGTTGTTTTCTTAATTTACATTCATTTATAAGAAGATCTGGTAAGTTGAAATAACTTGTGTCTTATCCTTTTGCTCTTACACTTGGCAATAAAATATGTTTAAACTAAACTAAACTAAAAAACTTGTGTTGTAAGTCAAAATAGCGTCATTCGAGTCTGCAGAAGCTTTATATTAAGTTCACTTCATTCCGTATGCAATAGCATATAGGATTTCAAATAAAATGCATACATATTATAACGAAACACTGCACAAGACGACGGAGAACATATATCGTATATGAAAGAGAGACAAAGACAGACGAAGACAAAGAAAGGCAGACAGAGAGGGAAACAGAAACAGAGAAGTAAAGTTAAGTAAGCAAGACTTACTAATAATTATGACGTCACCAAACCCTTTTTATTGTGACGTCATAGAAGCTTGTTTCTATGTACAATTAGTTACCATTTTGGCTGCAAACTGTTTACATTGAATTCTGAGCAGAGATCATGGGTTGTATCGAATCTAGAGGAGATGACGGAAACAAACGTAGAATTACACTGGACTCACTAATAAGGAGACTGCGACGGAATAACAAGGTAAAGTATTTTAGTTATTCGAAATCTATGTATGTCATGGAAAGTTTGCAAATCTGATTTCAACTTTGATTTATTCATTTTTAAATAGTTATTTCCAACATCATTGGTAAAAAATCTTTGCAGTAGATATTTTCTTTTTCCACAATAGGTTGCGCCTTTTCCTGACAATTAAGCTCGCATAACTGTAAATACGGGGACGCCAATGTTGAATCTGACAAGGCAGACAGAGCAAATGGTCATGCAACAGCTGTGGGCGGAGGGGATCATACCAAAACGGCGTGAAGGGGGTGTGCAATTCATCATTGAAATGGGGGACAACAAACCAAAACGATCCTCACACAGTTTCTCTGCCGCCACACTTCCAGGAGTACCGCAGTATTCCACTGTAGACAAATCTCGCCCCGTGATACTGCCACCAATTTCGAGAGTAGCGAAAATGATGGCAATTGAAGAGAAGATGGATAAGGCCAAACTGAACCGAGAAATGAAGATCCAGGAACGAAAAGCAAAGGCTGCTAAAACCATCGAGAAAGCACGAAAGAGGCGTGAACGTGTGTTAAATGGACAATTAACTGTCACCAATATGTTACATCAAGCTGACGTTAATAAGTTCTTATAAAATAAATATCGTAAGGAGGATTATTGTATCTTCTTATCATACTGCTTTGAATGAACAGAAGTGTGTCATGTGTATATTTGCTTTCAAACGAGAACATTCATTTCTGAGACAAAATAAAATGAACTAATTTTCTATTCTCACTGCTTTTATTTTCAACTACAGAAATACCTAAAAAATGAAGCTTTGAAAATAACATTCTTAATAGAAAATTAGATATTGGAGTTATAGCCATACTCTATACTCCATAGATTACGATCACTTTCGCTGTCTGCAACCCTGGAACATGTCGTGGCAAAATTGAAGGTTTCATGTGCCACACCTTCTGGACAAGACGAAAAGACTAGTTTGATCATTTGATGTACTTCAAACAAACCTTGAGGTTGCATATATGTATATTGCAATGGCTTTGAAATTGGATGTCACATCTCTGTAATCTTCAAAAGGAGAGTTCAGCCTGTGATTGGTCAGGTTTTTTATTCTCCTTGTATCAATCAAATTACTTTTCTTTGTGCTTTCCATTTTGTCACGTTATGTTACAGGACATTATTGGCCCAATGCGGAATATTTAGTATTGGATATTTAAATTCGACTGTGCTTCAAATGTCTCTTACACCGCAAAATATAAACGTGTATGTGAAATTCAGACAGTTCTGAGCTGGTTAATTAAAATTATATACACACAATTTTGTGTGTTAAGATTTATAATTTGAAATAAACTGACATGCCAACATTCCTTCAAGATCGGATAAGCAAGTGTGAAACAGAAAAAATACGGACGAAGGGCGATTCCGAAAGTACAAGGAGCAAGAGAATAGGTGTTTCCACAGGGTAAGCGGTTATTTCTATATCGATAACATCCGTATTTGTCACCAGACATTTAATCATCAACTAACTACATGCAGGGATATTTGACATAGACACAGGGATTCGGTACGAATTCTCAACCTACAATCCAGTTATATTTATTATATTGGCTATTGGGAATTCGTGCCAAATTCCTGTGGTATGGACAAAGTCATGGGTACTTTATACCACCATAATCCCAGATTTCGGCATTGTTATTGAGATACCCATTATATTTGATTTTATTTAATAATTATTTCATTGCAGAAAGTCGTACAATGGGATTGGACACAAGTTTTAACAACTTACAAAACCCTCTCCTTTACATAGTTTAAACACGAATACTTAAACAACAAGCCATGTAACAGTATTTATATGATAATAAGTTTTGATTGAAACATAAGGGAATGAATGAAGAGAAGGAAGGAGGGTAGGTAAGGAGGGAAGAAGGGAGTATATAGTACAAAGGAGGAA